TTGTCAACATGTCTAGTTAATCACCAAGGTTCTCATCATTTCTAGCTTGCAGCATCACTTAGTCTCCTAATTATCTCTTTTACAACATTCTAATCTGCCTTTGAGGTTGTTGCCAAGTAATGGTAGTTTTTAAAGTTTTCTTTTGAAAGCACAATTACTTTTTCACAGAAACTACTAGGTGATTTTTCACAATGTAAAGTCCATAGTTTAAAGCATGGCATACAAGGTTTTTCAAGAACTGGCCTTTCCTCCTTTCCCTAGGAGTCTTTCTTTCCCTTCCCCCAGCACTCATATGCTAGTCATGTTGCTTGGCCTGCCAGCCTGCTTCATTCCTCTGGAGGCTTGCATTTGCCACATGTGCTGCCTTTCAACATTGACAACTTTGTATACTCCCTCCATTTTGAAACACCTTCTATCCTTCACTTCCATGATACCATTCTTTCTGGACTTTCCTCTTCCCTCTCTGATATTTCCCTCAGTCTTTTTTTGTTGGCCACTCATTCTCTACTTATCCTTTGTATGTTGTTCTTTCTTGGGGCTCAATTTTAGGTTCTGTTTTCCTTCTTAAATCTCCTGAATTAAAACTCTGCTCTATATACCAGTGGTTTGCTTTGCTATGAGGATTTTTATAGTTAGCAAAAGAAGTAGATAAATATTACAATACATTTTATTCTCATAGGTGGAGAGTAAATATATTCATCTATAGTTTCAGCCAATGAGAACTTGCCTCGTGGGCTAAAACCTCTTAATTTTATATGTGGAAGCTAGCCCCCATAGTGTGCTTTCTTCATTTGAGTGGTCTTCTCCATGTCATTTTGCTCTCTCATTCTGCCCTTGTAAAAATGATTAGATTTTAGCAACCCCAGAAAGGTCAAGCGTTGTAGTTCATCAAGTAGCATTTGACCTTCTGTCAATAAATTGGTAGAAATTAGGATGTTTAACTTTAAAAAATGAAATTTAGAAGAAAACTCTTCATCTTTGGAATAAATTGGAATTGGCAGACAAGACTGTAGTGTTTATTATAGTCCAGGAAATTATTCTGAATGGATTAAAGTCAGAAATATTTTCAAAGGAAAGAACTAAATCAAGATGTTATCATAACTTTTCAATGATGAAAGATGTGCCAAGTACTCACTGGAATTGCTCCACCTGAATAGCTGGCTCTTCCTGCTATTTCCTGAAATTCCATTTATAATACTCAAGAGATACAATCGATAGTAGTCATAGAGGAGTCAGATGGGAATGCTATGTCAGTATTGAAGAAGTGGTATATGAAGAAGTAATTATCATATTTCTGGAATTGAGTTAAAAGTACTATCATGGAGAAGAAAATTTAATCTTTTAACAGTTAAATTTTCAAATGAAATTTGAAAATATTGCAGTAGGTTTTTTTTTTTTTTTTTTTTAGAGCAATTGAGCATGAGCAAGATATTTTCATTTGCATCTTGTCTCTACACCATGTATAGAACTGAAGAAATTAGGAACTGTCCCTTTAATAAAACCCTGTTTACTTCTTCTCTTCTAGTAGGAGTGGCTTAGGAACCTGTAGAGTGAGGTATAACTTCAATTGTGCATTCTGACCTGTAGCCTTGGAAAGAGTGCTAGAACTGCAAACCAGGAAGCAACAAATAATGTGCTTTAAACTACACTAGAACTTTTCTTTTACACGGAAAAACATCTCATAACAAAATTAGGAAACTGAAGCAGTGATTTTGTGTAGTTGTCATTAAATATTTGGCACTCTGCTTCAGATAAGAGTTTGCAGCATACTGGGAATACAAAGCTTTCTGGGCCAGAAATTGATCTGCTGGTTTTTGAGCTTTATCTGATTACTGCTTGGTTCATCTTTATTTTGTTAAACTACTCTGTAGGCTGAACTGGAAAGATTCTACTTTGTTTGCAGGTAGGTGGTCTAAATTTTGTTTAAAATTTAGGTTGTTTTTAAGATTACTCAAGCAGATTGACTCTACTGCTGATTATTGAAAGAATTATTAATTCAGGCTGAACATGTTTGACTGTTCAGAATTGCTGAACATACTGTGTTTTTATGACAATTGGACAGCTTTGTAGAAAAGTGATGTTTAACAAATTACCAAATCTATAGCATGGTGAATTCAATGAGTTTTGTTTCCCATTAACATATATATATATATATATATATATATATTTATATATATATATATATATATGCATATGCGTGCGCACATGCGTGTGTTCAATTAATAGGTCAAAAAGCATATTGAAATTATCCTGTGATTAACTTCCTAGTATTATTTGTTAAAAATTTTAAAACATGTATTTCTGTAGTCAAATAAAATTACATTTTTGTTATTAGTATTTTACTTATAAGTTTCATTTCTTTCACTGTTAGGAAGCTGTCTTGAGTATTTGTTGATTTGTTTATTTTAGTCTTTCTTTGGAAATATCTATTTGTTTTTGAAAAGTTTGAGAGGTTAATCTTACACAAGTATATTGAAATATTGTTTGCTTCTCTTTATAAAGCTAACTATCCTTACGTGACACTAAAATATTTTGAAGATAGTCTTTGAAAGAATGAGTTAATTAGTAGTAAAGCTGTCACTATGAAAAGCAAATGACTCTTTGGGAGTGGAAGTAGGAAATGTATGCTGGGTTTTTTTAGGATCAAAGACAGTTGTTCATCATCTTTCTCTACCACCAGTGATCCTTTTTATTTTATTTTGTTAATTTTTCTTCTCTGGATCCTATGTCTTAAAAGACTCTGTCCACCAAAAAGTGGTTATATTGAATAGTAAATATTAGAAGATTGTTATTTGTTAGACATACATTATTTCCAATGAGATATCCACTCTAGGTTAACACAATAGCTCAAAGCAAAGAGTGTTGCCCATTTACTTAGCTTGAGTAGCTTTATTATAGGTAAATACTCGGATATTTTCAACATGTTGAAGTACTGATAATAACACCTGAATTTTAATCAGGTATTCTTGTGGTATCCTAGTGATCTGACATGGCAGACAGGGAATTAGCAGTCAAGGGTGCAGAAATCTGAGTAATATTAGGCAAATTATATTGTTATATTGTATATTGTGTGCATGTATGAATATGTAACAGCAAATCCCGTATGTACAACTATAATACACCAATTATAAAAATTGGGGGAAAAAAGTGCAGAAATTTTGTTCTTAATCTCTTTGAGGTTCTACAAAATGTAATGAAGGTCATCTAGTATAAATATCAAACAGAGATACCACAGCTACTAGAGAGAGAAAAGAAAAAAAAAGAGAAAAAAAGGAAATATATTTGTTATAGGAAACATTGCAGAAGAATTCCAGGCATCTATATACATTTTAGCCCTGTTAAATCTATATTTATCTTTACTGTTACCCAACTTTAAATTTTTACTCCAATCGGGCTGACAAACTATTACTGACCGTGAAACAAATATTACTTATGTTCATGCATTTAGTCTGTACTTTTATGTTGGTTTCTCTCTCCTCTACTTTTCTCATTTCTCCCCTGCTCTCATTCATGTTTTTTTTTTTTTCAGTTCAGCTGAAAACCAGTGTGAAAACATAGCAGATCTCCCTAATCCATAGTAGTAATTTTTCTTTTAGACTTTTATGTCATCTTGATTCTACCAGCACTTTAGTACATAATCATATATTGTTGGGCTGGGGATGTGGCTCAAGCGGTAGCGCGCTCGCCTGGCATGCGTGCGGCCCCGGTTCGATACTCAGCACCACATACCAACAAAGATGTTGTGTCCGCCGAGAACTAAAAATAAATAAATTAAAAAAAAAATCATATATTGTCACATTTAACTTAAAGTGTCCAATGGCTCTTCAGTTATAATAGAAATTATTTGAGGGTCAAGAACTTCTACATCATTTTTATACCCCTTAGCATCTAGTAGAGTGGTATACATTTGGAGGGTACTCAATAAATACCTGTTGAATGACTGAAAGAGATGAAGAATCTTATTGACAATATCTTCAAGTGTTAAGCTGCCTCCCTCTACCTTGCTTAATCATGTAATTAACTATAATGCTTCCTGTTTTATCATAATATCATTCTTTTGCATAAATGTGCTGTATTTGGTGGTTTTGGGTTTTTTTGGGGGGTACCAGGGATTGAAATTAGGGGCACTTAGCTACTGAGCCACATCCCAGCCCTATTTTGTATTATATTTAGAGACAGGGTCTCACTGAGTTGCTTAGTGCCTTGCTTTTTGCTGAGGCTAGCTTTGAACTAGAAATCCTCCTGCCTTATCCTTCTGAGCTGCTAGGATTACAAGTGTGCTCCACTGTGCCTGGAGTATTTGATGATTTTTAGCACTGGTAAAAGAGAACAAACTAGACTTTATTAAAAGTAAAGGAAATTCTGAAGTCCAGCCTCTTGCATTTTGAATTTTAGGAAAATATAATTTAAAGTGCATTGGTATATCAGGTTCTAAATGCAGCTAAAATATTCAGATACATTATGGATTAAAAGGATGTATTCCAAGTTGGCATTTAGGATGCTGAATGGTGATAACAGTGGTCGTGGTAGGCTGTTGGATTTCAGATCCAGAAACTACAAATTATTTTATAAAGACAAAATTTTAAACTTTTTTTCTTCCCACCTACAGTAGTTATTTTATTACATACTTAAAGAATCATCATTTTCCAGGTGTGATGATGTGTGCTTATAGTACCAGCTTTTGGGGGGGTTGAAACAGGAGAATCACTTGAACCCAAGAGTTTGAGATCAGCCTAGACAATGTAGTGAGACTCTGTCTTGAAAAATAAAAACAAAATATAAAATCACAATTTTGTACAAATCTCATATCAACTCTGTCAGATGGGCTTTAAGTCATTTTTATAGAGAAAATGAAGGTTTATAAAAATCAGAAAGCTACCAAGGCCACACTTTTGGTAGCTGTTCCACAGGTCATTTTAACTTTAATATTCATGTTTTAAATCACTGTGTTATATTATCTTTTATATTATCTAAAACTCATTATGTTTCTGTCGTTTTAGAGTCTGACCAGACAAGAATTCTGGCAACTTCTCCAGCAGAACTATGGCACTGAGCTAGGTTTAAATGCTGAAGAGATGGAAAACTTGTCACTGTCGATTGAAGATAATGTGCAGCCAAGGTACAGCAAAATGTTTTGAAATGTCAAGGTTTATTAGCCTTTAAGGTGGACTTATTTTAGATTCTACTAATTCTGAATCTCTATTAATTCACCCTTGGGTACAGTTTGCCTTGTTCTTTGAGGTAGAATGGGGTAAAAGATAGGCATGGAGAATAGTTTGCCAAATTCGAGACATATGAAGAAATGTAAACTATAAACTGTCACCTAGAATTTGCTTAAAGCTTGGTTAATTTTTATTATTGGAGCTTTATAGCTGTACATAGTAGTTGGGTTCATTCCTACAAACTTATATATGCATAGAAATTGATTTCAGTTTATGATCCCCCTTTCCCGTTTTTATAGCTTATTTTTTAAAAAATATGAAATTCTCATTTTATATACACACACACACACACATACACACACATATATACATATCTGCTGGCAGCTGGAAGTATCTATATATCTATCTGTATATATATACATATCTATATATCTATCTATATATTAGTTGTAGATGGACAATTTAGTACCTTTGTTTTATTTATTTATTTTTATGTGGTGCTGAGAAATGAACCTAGCGCCTCACACATGCTAGGCAAGTGCTCTACCACTGAGCTACAACACCAGCCCCTCACAGCTTAGTTTTAATTAATCTTTTTACTAAGGGTCTGGAGAATTACCTGGTGAAATCTCTGAATTTATAGATGAAAATAAAGTAAATTAAATGGCACATGTCTTGAGGAATACAATGATACTATGACTTACTCAAGAATATCCTAGCATTTGTGTGTGGCATGTGGCTGGCACTCCGTAAATATTGAGTACATTAATAAAAGAAGTTTATAATACTATGGGGATGCAAATAATGACAAGATAAGAGCCATGAAGGAGGAACAAATAATGTGATAAAGAAATTATGAGTAGAGAAATATATTTTTAACAGATTCGGATTCATTTAGAAGAGTGAACATTTTTGTTGTTATTGTGTTTTGTCTTTTGCAGTACTGGGGATTAAACCTAGAGGCACTGAGCTACATTTTGAGGCAGGGTCTTACCAACTTCTCCAGATTAGCCTTTAAACTTGTGATCCTCCTACCTTAGCCTCCAGAGGAGCTGGGATTGTAGATGTGCACCACCATGCCTGGCAATGAGTGGACATTTTTTATTAACCATTCGAGTAAAAGTGCATTTTATCTAATGGCAAGATTGGGCCATAGCAATAAAAACAAACAGGGTAATACTTTAAAATTCTATAGCAAACATTATGTTAACTTGGAGAAGCCAGTAACAAAAGACCATATATTGTATAATACCATGTATATGAAATGGAGTTCAGAATTCATTAATACCTAGAAAATGTATGTTTGTAGTTGCTAGATCTAAGAGGAAGAAAGAATGGGAATGACAGCTTATGGGTACAGGTTTTCTTTTTGGGGTGATTAAAATGTTCTAAAATGAGGTAGTGGTGATGTTTGTACAACTCTATAAACAACTGAATTTTACTCTTTAAATGAAGGATAATTTTTTGTTGTATGAATTATATGTTATAATATGTTATAGCTTATCTTAAAATGGAAATATTTTGAATATTTTAAATTGTGTATAAAATTTTTAGTCATCTTTCTAGTCTTCTACTGATGCTGATCCTATTTATATTGCTTCAGTTTAGCATCAATATTTTATAGTCTTTTTTACCAGGTAGAACATGCATATTTTATTAGTTTTCTGTAAAGTTAAAAATTTCCATTATACTACTTTCCTTGTAAAGTTTACAAGTTTCTCTCAGGTACTGAAGCTGGGTAGAAAAGCAACTGATTTAATGCAAAGAGACTCAGACTGTGGTAAACACAATCTGGATTCTAATCTGGGCCATCAAGTAGCTGAGCAACCTCATGCAAATCTTTTAACCTTTCTGATCCTCAGTTTACTCATCTATGAAACGAGGCCACTAAACTAGATGACCTTCAAAATCCCTGCCATCTTGAAAAGTTTCTAGTCTTTGCAAAAGCAGGGGGCTTCAGACTTTTAGGATCAGCTTTTCAATGTGACCAGTCCTGGTTTTGTGTTGTAGATCTCTTGCCAAATGTATGCACTGCTACTTTCATCTAGTAACTTTTTTCCTAATAAAATATGTGACAGGACTCTGATTTCCTGTTCATTCCTTTTCCCATTCTTCTAGTCTCTGAAAGAAGCATTGTCTGTTTCAAACCTTTATTTCCTCAGGGCTTCCATATTCTCTCTTCATTCTCAGTCTCTCCTTATTTCTCCGTATCTCATCTCCATCCTTAAAATCCTTAAGTGTAGACACTCAACTGGTAGGCAAGTCCTGACAACCCATTTTTCTTGTTTGGTTCATCAGAGGCCTGCCATTCTGCCTGGCTAAGAATAATTTGTAACAGACCTTAAGTATTATTTGGGCGGAGTAAAACAGGGTTGAAATACCTTTTGGCTTTTTTTTTCCTTCCTTAGGATTATATTGTGTGAGAATCAGGCTGCTACTTTATTTTAGCAGAAGAGCTTTAAATGTACATAGTTATGATTATATGGGAATTGTGGTTGCCTGATAAGGTTGGGCACTGGAAATTAGATCAGTTATGCTCCTTTTGTATTTAATCTCTTTCCTTTCTTTATGCTTCCTGAGATGGGAAAAGCAGATACTAAGACATTCCTGGTAGTCTTGGCCCTGTGATCATTTGAAAGCTATTTCTTACCCCTTGTTCTTAGTATTGAGAAGAATCATGAGAGGGCAAGATTCATTGATGGACTCAGATAGCAGGAGCTTCCATTTCTGAGAGGGATTGGCCATTTCAGCTGGGTCTGAGTCAGAATGAAGGAGATGTAAAAACTGTCTTCTATGCTGATTGATGTCCAATTCACACATCCTCCCTGAACATTTTACATTTTCATGGTTGTCCCCAACTCGTTTGATCTGCTGTTGTTGGCTGCTTGTACTTTGTTAATTTTTTTAATGATTTCTGAAATTTATAAAACTTTATATTACCTATGATTTGTTTTTAGGAATAAAGTCAATTTGCTTGTGATTTAAAAAGATAGCTTTGGTATAAGTAGAGGCCTATTTGCTTCAGTACAATGGTCCATTTGCCATCAAAATGGTTTATAATAAAAAAGATTCCAGGAGTCTAAATAACTTATTTGTGTGGAGGTGACTATATTTTTATAATGATGTGTTTCTTAACAGCAGTCCCAGAAGAAGTGGTGTGGATGATTCTGGGGAAAGAGATGAAAAATTATCCAAGTCTATCAGTTTTACCCGTGAATCAATTCATCAAGTTTCAGAAACAGAGTCATTGGATGGAAATTCATCAAAAGGAGTTAGTATATGTTATTCCTTTAAAATATATCTGATATTGCCATGTGGTAGTCACAATATAAGATAAAGTAAAAAATGCAATCTATAAAATGTTTAAAAACCTTAGGACATCAGGCTTCTATTTTATTAGAAGAGTTTTAAGTATGTAAGTAGCAGAGGTTATATGGGAGAAAGTGTGGTTTTGTTTAGAGCTGGATAAGGTATAGAGCTACCAGGCAGTTCTCTGGGCATTGTCAATGGGGAGGATAAATGCATTTAAAAAATCACAAGATGTAGAAATTTGTAGTTTGCAGAATTTTCTCCAGGGAGAGTAGTAAGTGTGATGCATAAACTGTTTCAATTGAAAGTGAACCCACCTATGGCCAGCAGTGGTTCTTTTCTATCCTCCCCCAAGGAGCTTCCAGCATTTCCTCTGTGTAAATGTTGGGAAAACATGGAAAGGAATTTATTATGTGAAAGGCCCTAAGTTATGAACTTGCCTTAGGCAACCATCATCTATCATGCAACTACCTCAGCCTGGTTTTGTGTTGTGGATTTCTTGAAAAATGTATGCACTGAGAGACACTTAAGGACTCACTACTGATACAAGGAATTTGACTCTGGATGTTAATCTCTTTGCATGTTCTCACTGAGATGATGAAACTACTGAACTTGGGTGAGGTAACAAGATAGGGAATTTCGTGTAGTCTCCTTATTCTTTTATAGAAGTCTGACTTTAAGGACTGGGTTTTCAGAACTGCTAATCTCTGCTTGAGTCCTACAACCTCTCTACAATTTCTTCTATACCATCTCTTGAATGCTTAACCTGTTGGTTCTTGCCTCTAGTTTTGTTCCTAAAGAAGGTCACATTTGATCTCAATAAAAGAATGGAGTATAGAAGAGTAACAATGTTATGAGATCAATCAGACATTCCTTGATGTGTTTAGTATAGTTGTTTTTAGGTTATGGAATATAAGTAATATAGAAATTTGGTCCTTATTCCTTATTTTTCCCTTTTGCTTTCAAGAGCAGTTTGGGGAGATTCTCAGATGTCAACAAATATTGTGTGTCACTTAGTTTGGCTTATTTTCACTTCTAGCACAAGTTAGAAATAAGAAAAAATCTGAAGCAATTTTTTTTCCAAGATGAAAACATGCTTTTTAAGTTATTAAAATTAACACTCTTTGTAAAACTTTTTGAAATGTAGAAGAATAAATGAAGAAATAAAAACTGTCTAAATGCCACCCACTGAAATAGTCACTGTTACTTTTCTTATATGTATCAATCTAAATTCCCCACCCCCCCATGGTGGGGATTGAACTCAGGGCTTCATGCATGCTAGGCAAGAACTCTACCACTAAGCTATATTTCAAGCCCTATCTATATTCTTTATAAGAAATATAATTTAATTAGTAACAAGAGGGGAAACATAAATGTGGAGTTAGAGAAACTTACTCTACTTAGCATATGTTAGAGCCCTGGTGCTGCTTAAGCATGCTGCTTTATAGTGTGGAACTCCCAAACACATCAGCTCTTGATTTTAGTAGTAATCTCTGCCTAAAGAATCTTTCCTCTGACTAGGGTAGTCTAATCCTTTAGTAAATTGTGTCATGTTCCCAGTTGTTGTTATGCTTCTGGGTGGCCAATGGAAACCTATATCCTCCCTAGAGTTGTTTTCCTGTTCAGTGTTGCTCAAGAATCTCCTGGGGCAGGAAGTCAAAAAATTGTGTATGTAGCTTTTGCTCTCTTTCATCTGTGTACACATAGATATTGCAAGGAAGTACTTTGCTGTACAGTTTATACAGTTTTATTTTTTTACACTGTCCTACTAAGCCTGATTGTAAAACTAGCCTATCTGAATATTAACATAGTAATTGTATTCATGCTTTAATGCTTAGCATTAGTTTACTGTAGAAATGACACGCCTTTATCAAACCATCCCCAAAGGTATAGATAGCATCATATATTGAATATATTTTAATGCTTAGGCTCTTAACAGTAAAGCCAATTGTGTGCTTTTGAGTTTGCTATGAAATTAATTTCCCTTTGAATCTTGTCTTCCCCACTGTACTCTTATGTGACTTTTATCTCTCTATTTTCTTTCCCCTTTCTGCTTTAGTTACTGGTTTTGAGAGGTAGGTGAATTCTCTTCCTTGAGATGATGGGGCAGACATTGGCTGGGGAAAGTAGTGGGTTTGGTTATTCTCCTTTGTTCATTCTAAAAAACTGATTATTGCATTATTTTTGCCCTTTGTCCCTTTCCCTTCTGCTTACTTATTTCACATGACATTAACTTTATGTGAGTTCTTTTATATAAATTTGTTGTTTATTACTGTGTAAGAAGATGACTTCAGGAAGGCATGTATTATTTACTGACATTTCATGGGCCCACATTTAGCAGCCTTGGAAATGTGATTGATTCAACCCTAATAAACAAAATGCTACAAATATTTTTCAAAGAGCAGTATTTGAAAACATCTTTAATAATCTTTAAATAAAAGTTCTCACTGTAAAATCTAGGCTTAAAATTTGTTTTTCACTAACTGTGTTATATGCCTTTTAGGCATTAGGGAAAGAGGAGCCTGAAAGTGAGAAACAGATCCAAAAGAGTCCTTTACTAACTTCAGAAAAGAGGTTAAATAGAATGCCATCAAAATCGCTGTATTTGAACAAAAATGAATATCTTTCTCTGGAAAAAAGCAGCACTTCAGATTCTGTTGATGAAGGTAAAGAATTTCTGGAAATTTTTTAAAAAATTGAAAGTAAGTCTTAATGTTTATCTTTGTATTAGGTGTCTGCAGATTGAGAATTTGGTTTTGTTAGATGAAGTCTTGCCCTATAAAGAATCTTAAAAGAAATGAAAGTTTATAGAAAACAGGAGAAAGCCTACTAAATCTAACCCATCTGCACTATTTTCAAAGCCTGGAATTTGAAAATATCCATTATATTTAGCTTTTAAAATCCCAACCATTGAATAAGTACCAATGGAAAAGCAAATCTGTTAATAAAAATCTGCATGCCCACTCCCACATACCAGGCAGGGTAAAATGCTCACATTTTATAGGTGGAATGATCTATTGGTTTATCTAGGTAACTATTAGGGAAAGTAAGACCTAGATGGGTTCAGTCTAAAATTATGCTGCCAGTTCACTATATATAGCTGGAATTAAGTGACCAGGTCTTTTAGGTTAATGCTCTTTTTACTTTATCCAGTACTTCCAAAATTATTGTTTCTTTTCCTCCTTTTTCTTTAAAAAAGATACCTTAGCAAAGGTGTATAATTATGAAAGCAAGTATTTGTGGTAGGGGCACATTCTGAAATGGGTATTAATTTAGTTTATTGAGTAGCTTCCCAAAGGTAATAAAGAATATCAAAATTTCTAACAAGGAAACTTTTTAAAAAATATTACTCATTGTATTACTCAGAAGAATATTCTACTTTTGAATGTGGAAGATAAAATCTTTTGATTGAATAATGGGGTGAGTTTTTTAAAGCAGGCGCATGGACAGTTCATAATTTCTTCTGAATTTGGTATGTATTTACTATAGCCAATTTCCATTCAGTTTTTAAAAACTTCATTCAATTTCAATTTGTTTTTAAATGAACATTCTACAGTTGAAATTTATTACCAAAACAAATGATAAATAATGTTCCACATGGCATTAAAAAGCAACTTACTTAGTTTTAGAAGGCCAACAGAGATTTAATTTAATTCTAATATAATGATGAATAATAATGAAAATTACAAACCAGAGACCTTCTGAATCTCAGAAGTATTATATTCCAGATGGCATTTTAAATACATGTTTAGTATTGTAATCCTTGCATACATGGGGTCTCTAGTGGCTCAACAAACAGCCATCTTTCTTGACCACCCTTGTTGTTACAAAATTGGGAAAGAAAACAAAAAGCAAGTCTTATAGAGGCCAAAATATCACTTCTAATAGTAATAGTGGCAAAGTTAGAGGATGAAGATGTGTGACAAAGGTACTTGGGCTGCTGATTGAGCTGATGAATGAGATAGACTTACCCATCAGTCACCATGTTTGACCTCTTCCCAATCTAGAAGGGAAGATCATCCCTATAGAAGTATTAACCTCGGTGGGCACTTAAGGCCTAGAAGAAAGGACAGAGGTGTGACAGGCCTGCCAGTACAACCCTTGCATACTTACTAAGATTGACTTAATCAGATTGGGCTGCCCTAACAAAATACCACAGCCTGTGTGGCTTAAACAACAGAAATGTATTTTCTTATTATTCTGGAGGATAGAAATCCTTGATTAAGGTGAGGATTCTCTGGGCTTGTAGATAGCTACCTTCTTGCTATGTCCTCACATGTCTTTTCCTCACCTTCTCACAAAGGGGAAGAAAGGTAGGAAGAGATGGAGCAGGGAGAGAGGAAGGGGGAGGCAGGCAAAAGTTGAGAATATCATAAGTATAAAAAGTAGTTGTTTAAAAGAAACTTTATAGCAAATTGTGTTCTCTGTACTTTATGTTAGAACCCACAACCTGGGGCTTGTCATACTTGTTAAGTAGGTATTTTCAGGAATCTTTTTTAAAAATTATAAGATCATTGACATTGAAGTCATTGCAGTGGGAGTCATTGGTAAGGAGGTAGGGTAGTGAGTGCTGTATCAGTGCTTTGGTATGCAGCAGGGCAGGAATTAGTTACACCCTGCCTGACTGAATCAAGCTTTAGAAGATCTACTCTGGCACCCAGTGGCCAAATAGGTAAGTGACACCAAAATAAGGATTTATTTATTTGTCTGTCTACCTCTCACCTGTAGTTTTATAAGAATGGTCCTTGAAAAAGTAATTTCATTATTGAGTTCCTGTTAACATTAATGATAAAGTTATACAGGGGACAACATAAACTCATAAAAGCTGTGCATATAACCATGAGTAAAGAATAATAGTGGTATATTTTCTGTATTATATATGAACACTGATCACATTTTTTTCCTTGCTCCTTCCCCTTCAAAGACTGTTCAGCTTTACAGCAATAAAAACTTAACATGTAACACCCTCTGTTTGTGGCAGTTTTCCTTAAGGTGTGTGGCATAATGACTTCTTATTAGATTATCATTAGGTAACAATTCTGGACTCCTGCTGCTTTCCTCAAATGGGTTCCAAAATCATGTCAGATGTATCAAATGGGTATAATAATCAATATAGTTTTCATTTTCTTAAAATTGTAAAGTTATATAGACACTTGAAGTAAGGGAATTGGGGAGAAAATGGGAAAGGCCAGAAGTAGTAAACCATCTCAAGAGACCTGGAGATGTGTGTGTGATTGAGAGGGAGCTGAATAGGTGACTGATCACTTTAAACCAAACATAATTTTGTTTAAATGATAGTGTTTTCATCTATTTTTGTGACCAGGCTGAGTGAGAAAATGACAATATTTTTCACCTTTTCTGTTCCCCACATGCTATAATTTTGGAGAGTGGGGGCCCTAAACTATTTTGATATAGACACGCCACTATTTTGATATAGAGACTCTATTTTTATATAGAGACCCATGTATTCCTGACAGGACTTAACAAATCAGAGCATCATGAAATGTTTCATGAGGGAACTGCTGAAACTTTTGGCCCCAATCTTTGATGAGGAATTTAAGTGGAACACAGATAGAGAAATTTTGACTAGAATCTGCTTGGGCTAACATCTAGTTTAATGATCTTCCTCTATGCTAAGCAGTTTAGAATACAACAAGATTGAAGGGTGTCCTTTTTCTAGCTATTTCTATCCTTTCAGAACTGGGCTCCCTCCACCTAGCTTCTAAACAAAATAAGCATTGTGTTTAATATGTTAAATCATATTTCTATTTTTAAACTTTGATATGATTTATAGAATAAGCTACAGAATTTCTTCATCTATTTAAAGGATCATTGTGGATAGACTTTCTCTAGCCAGGGGAAGTTGGGAAGGAGTTTAAAAGATGCTGGGAGTTTCCTGGGAAATGAAGATGAGCTGTTGCATGTGTCAAGAACAAAGAAATGTCATGGTGACAGGACGCTTATGCAGAGAATGGAAGCTACAACTCAAGCGAAGATTAGGTTGTGAGGACAACACAAAAGGATAGCAAAATTGAAATCCATGACCCATAACTGAAAGAAAAAGATGAATTAGAGGCAAAGCCAAGCAAAGAGTAACAGGAATTGAAATTTTGGATAATGCTTATTAATTACTAAAGTCAAAGACAAGTAGACTCTGGCAAAAGCCAGAGAAAAAGCCACATGATAAGCTAGCATATCAGTGAAGCAGCCTTGAGCTTAAACCAGGTAACCCAACAGTTACCTGAGTTGGATTTTTTTTTTAATATTTTTTAGTTGTAGATGGACACAATACCTTTTTTATTTATCTTTACATGGTGCTGAGGATTAAACCCAGGGCTTCACACATGCTAAGTGAGTGCTCTCCACTGAGCCACAACCCCAGCCTGTGAATTGGATTTTTGAACAACACATTCAATTGAACTTAGTTTTCAGGTGTAAGGAATACCTGAATCAAGAAGATAGCAGGTCACTAGTTTTTAGAAAATGGAGGATATAACTGATTGCGGGTCCTTAGTTACTAAATTAAGCTTCAATCAACTGCTTTTTTTTTTTTTTTTTTACATACCTACCTACTACATTTTTAAAGTACCATCAAAAAACTGCCAGCATATATTTTCAGTTTCATTTATGTTCATGCATTTCTCCTATATTTATTTGTCTCACTTTACATACTCTCCACTGGCTGCTTTTAAACTGATATGTTTAAAATACCATTTCTTCTTTATTGGCCATAGTAACCTTCTACTGAATGGAGCAATACCCCCTCTAGCTTAATATATTATATCAATACTATTGGCGATGTTATTCAGATAGGAGACTTTGAAGTATATGAATTTCATAAATGAATAATCCCATGTGGAAATAATTTATTTCATTTACTTACTCCCTTGAATAAATTTACATACAAAATAGATGGTTGTTCATTCCTTATAGTCATACAACAAATTATATTTTTATTAATAGTAATTCAGAATCTGTTGTCTAAAAATAGGATTTAAAAGAAATATGAAATATTGTATTGAGTCAGGCACAGTGGTGCACACCTGTAATCCCAGCAACTCAGGAGACTGAGGCAGGAGCATGACAAATTCAAGGCCAGCCTCAGCAACATAGTGAGATTCTGTCTGAGAATAATTATTTTTTAAAAAGGGATGGGAATGTATGTAGCTCAGTGGCAGAGTGTCCCTGGGTTCAATTCCCAGTACTGAAATATGTATGAGTGCAATTTTCCCCTTTTACAGATGAATAAGAGGCTTACATTTTTGGTGCTGGGATTGAATCTAGGGTCTCACACATACTAGGCAGGTGTTCTACATCCCTACCCCAAGAAATTTATTTCTGAAAAGTTATAGTCCCAGGGTTCCTTAGAAGAATAGCTGATTCTAAGAATAGAGAAAATTGAAGACGAGCTTGGAGCACATTGTGGTGCCAGAAAGTAAGGAAGTGGGAGAGGGTGGACATGTCAAAAAAATACAGGCACCAACCTGAAGGAGCTCCTAATGACCAAATCAAATAGTTAAATAATTTGAGGAACAAAATAAATAGTGACAGTATTAGATTATAACCTAAAAAATAAAATAACTTCACTAGTCCAATGGAATGTAGTGTTTTGGATTATATTCTTATACAGAAAAAGGACATTACTGGAAGGGGGATAAATCATAGTTTAATTAATTATATATCTCAAAATAAAATAAGAAGTTTTTTTAGAGGTTACAAATTCAAAAGTCCTAGATACAAAAATAGAACCTAAGATATTTCTAGCATTTTCTGTATTAATTTATGCATTCAAAAATACAGTTCTTATATGTCAAACACTGAATGTAAAAGTTTAAAACTGACATTATCCCAACTTGCATGGATCATATAGTCAAGTACAGGAGAGATATAGTAAGCAAGTGAATAAGACACCAAAAGTTTAATTACAAATAAGGATAGGTTCTGTGAAGAAATGGCAGGATCAATAGAATTATCTCTAGTTTGCTTTTTTGTGTATTTGAGTTATTTTTTGCATGAATAAATAATACTTCTATGTGGGCAAAAGCTGTTTTGCAAGCCTAATTGGGGAGTTACTTCATAAAACCTCAGCGGATTGCCTAATTTTAGTGATTTGTTCCTATACCAAAAAAGCTATTATTTGAAATTGAAGTGAATCATTTTTTCTGACATACAGTATTATTGCAGGGTGAAGATAAGTCAATATCTACCATGTGTCCCTAAGTTCTTTGCACTTGTAACAAAATAGAGAGGTACAAATCATTTAATAAGGTAAAAATAGTGATAGTTGGAGCTGAAACTAGAGCTACAGGAGTTTTTTTCTGATTCATAGGCCATTGCCTTTCATTTAAATGGACTAGTTCCCATGGATTAATATTGACATGTGCTTTGCACAGGTAATTCTCAGAGCTTGATTTCTGAAATATGGGGAGCTTTTGTCATAATTTTTATTTTGTATTGATGGAGCACAACCCTTGAAATAAGAAGTAATACCTATCCTTAAATGATTAAACTTTCACGTTGGATTCCTTTTCACTTTTTTCTTTATTATACAGAGTTCTTATACCTATCTGTCTTTTTCTTTTTGATTCTTTGAAGTAAAATGCTTTCTGGCAGCCTAAAATAAAGGTTATGCTTGTGTGCTCTAGAGCTGAAGTGGGTTCAGTTCCCAAACCAGTGACTGACACTGGTTTGTCAGTGGAGCCCTGACACTTCTCTCTATGTGTCCATTTCCTCATTCGTAAAATAGAAATGATGATGATGATACCACTTTTTTTGGAGGAATGCAGTGAGAGGTACTTAGTACCTCTGACACATGGAAAATATTATGTAAATATGGGCCATTTTTATCTAATGTTTCCAGGGAGCATGAGAAGAGATGAACAAATATAACTTTCTTTACTTGCTAGTTTTCAACATCGTCATTAGTTCTTAGAAAAAAAAAATGTGTTCCATTGGGCATTGTTTGGCTTTGAAGAGTATTTTTCAGAGGGTATACCTATTCTTTTAATGTGTGGTATTGGTATTATTGTGAATATAGTGATCCTTGTCTTGGGGGAGTTAGCAGTCAGGTTGTATCATTCAGGCTGACAAGCTAGTGAGCATAGCAGATATTATAGCCATTGATGACTAAATATTTACTGAATGTATGAGTATGGAGAGATAGGACCTACTAATGGCTGTGTGTCTCAATATTGTTTTTTTTAATATTTATTTTTTAGCTGCAGTTGGACATAATACCTTTATTTATTTATTTTTATGTGGTGCTGAGGATCGAACCCAGGGCCTCACATGTGCTAGGCAAGCGCTCTACCGCTGCACCACAACCCCAGCCCTCAATATTGTTTTAATCACTTATGAAATATTCTTTTGAGTATCAAGAGTTTGATATCATTCCAGTAAAATATTCCTATATTTTCTAGATTTTGATAATTGAAATATTTGATTATATGTAGTCAACTATACATACTTATGTTTACATAAATATATATAGTGCATACATATTATTCTATTTGGAGTTTTGATAGTGTACTAGAATGCAATGATCATTGTAATCACATTTAAAAAACATTTTGTGCCCAAAAGAATATACCCATACATACACTCATTGAAATTACCTTTTCTTAACTTCTCTTTGGTGTATATTTTTGTTTTTCTAGAAGATTTTCCTGAGAAAGATCTTCGAGGAAGACTTTATATCAATCGAGTTTTTCATATCAGTGCTGAGAGGATGTTTGAATTGCTCTTCACTAGTTCACGCTTTATGCAGAGATTTTCCAGTTCTAGAAATATAATAGGTTGGTCCTTGTATTCTTTCCTAATGATAAATTTATTATCCTTAGAATGTTTAGCATATATAAACTGATTTATGATATCAGGGGAAAATATTAGATCTGCTTTGGTTATTTTGGTGATATATAAACTAGTTTTTAAATGTTGGGTTAATTTCACACGTGAATGGTTTAATTGTTTAACTAGACAGATGCTACTTAAAATAAATTCAAACCCTTTAAAAACTAAAACTATATTTATTCATTATGTATCTATTCAATTGGGATGAATCTAGTTCAAAAGCATCCACTGTGGAACAACTGGATTCTGGTAGAATATAAACTAGAACAACCACTTTCCAAATGGTTTGCTAATGTTTGTTAAAGCTATGAATTCTCTAACTCAGAGATTCCACTCCTTAGGTGTACACCCCTGAGAAATGGGCACATGAGTTCTCTGAATGACATCTGCTGTAGTGTTCACAGTAGCTTTATTTATAATAGTCCAAACTCAGAACCTTCCAAATATCCATCAATAATAAAATATATAAATTCCAAAGCTTCCATAGAATAATACTATATACTAATGAAAACAATGGCAAACTATAGTATGAAGGAACCTCAGACACAATGTTAAGCTAAGAAACCAGGTACAAAAGAACACATGGTATATAATTTCTTTATATAAAGTTTAAAAACAGACAAAATAAACTTATAAAGTCGACATAGTGATTTCAGTTGTGGAGAGTCAGTGGGTAAAGACTGGGAGGAAGCTTTTGGGATATTGGTAGAAATTTTATATCTTAGTCTGAGTGGGGCACATGTATATCTTTCCTTTGTGAAAAGCATGGACCTATGTATTTGAGATTATAGTCTGTAGTATATTTTAGTGAAAAAAAATAAAGTTTTTTAGGAATTTGGAAGGATTTCAATGATCAAGGTAAATATCTCGAATATCTTATAGTTTAAAAATGAATATAACCTAAACATTTCCAGATACTTTACTAACTTTGGGAGTAAGTGGTTTAGTTTGGTATATAGAATTAGAATGTAGCAGCATCAGAGATTGACATAAGGTAAGTTGCTTATGAGAAAGTTATTGTATAATCAATTTAAATAAAATTTTTAATCTATGGATTTTATTTACCACTAAATGTTATTCCTTTATTTGAAACTTTTATGTAAACATAATTATATATTCATAGATGATATTATCAATATTGTTTCTACATATAAAAATCAATTTTTTCTTATACACAGTAGAATAGCAAAGATATTTCTAATTGATAGATATTGACTCTTGTGATTATATTGATTCATGGTTTTAATAAATCACTTTCTTTTGTTTTTAAAAATGTGTTTTTTTTAAAGTGTGGCTTATTGGAGAGTTATAAATTTTCCTCTTCACTCAGTATCTTATATTTAATTTATTATCTCTCTTTGGAATTTATTTTATATTTTATTGTTATTCATTTCTACTTGGAGAAGTAGAAGACTCAGATTTATTATTTCCCTTAATTTTCTAAGTGATGCCTATTGACATTGCACTGCCATTTTTTTATGGCTGAAAAACCCAAAAGGGACTAGCATGTTTATTCCATGCTTTATACTAAATGAAGTTCAGGTTTTGAAACATAATTACATTTGTTGTCTGATATCATACCTGGCTTCAATATGGATGACTATATCTGCTATCTGATGTTATAAATGGCTTTGGAAGCAAAGATTTCTACATAATCACAATCTGAACAATTATAGGCACAGTGCAAGATTATAGGGAAAAACTTTCCCTCAAAAGACAATTTGCACATGGCTGCAAAACATACTGCTGTCCTTGGAACCTTTTACCTGGTAATCAAATTGTATTTCTTAATTATGAGTTTCAAAGGCATCTTTTAAAAATGTAAAAATTTAATATTTTTGTGTAATTGACTATTGTGGGTTAAGTCTAATTCCAGCATTGAAATGGTCACTACTGGATATCTTTAAAAAAGTCAAGGAGTTTTTAAGTGGATCTTCTATTTAATCTTAATTTACAGTTGTGTGACACTACCTGTAATTAAAAACTCAGCTTTCAGTACTTTTATACAAATTTTTCATTTTGAAAATGTAAAAGAATTTGCATGTATAATAACATCCATATACCCTCTACCTAGATTTATCAATTTTAAAAATTATGATAAAATATACATAAGACCCATTTTTAAGTGTACAGTTCAGAGGCATTTAGTACATTCATATTGTTGCAGAAACGTTATCACCATTCATTTTCAGAACTTCATTATCCCAAACAAGCTCTGAACCTATTAAATAATAACTTTCTGTTTTTCCTTTACCTTTGTTCCTGGTGACCTCCGTTATATTTTCTGTCTCTGAGTTTAGCTACTCTAGGTACCTTGTGTAAGTGGAATCATACAATATTTGTCCTTAAATGATGGGCTTATTACACTTAGCATGCCTTCAAGGTTTATTCATCCATGTTGTAGCATGTGTCAGAATTTTATAACTTTTTAAGGCAGAATAACATTCCATTGTACGCATATACAGTAGTACATTCTGTTTATTCATTCATCTGCTAATGACATTTGGTCATTTACATTTTTTGGCTACTATGAATAATGCTGCTGTGAATACTGATGTATAAATACCTGTTCAAGTCCCTGCCTTCAGTTCTTTTGGGTATATACTTACAAGTGGAGTTGTTACATCATAAGATAACTCTATGTTTAATTTTTTGAGAAAGAGCACGCTGTTTTCCATAATAATCATACCATTTTCCATTCCCACCAGTAGTGGACAGAGGTTCTGGTTTCTCCACATCCTCACCAACACTTGTTATTTTCTATTTTTTAAAAATATGCTAAGTGAAGCTAGCCAATCCTTAAAAAACAAATGCCAAATGTCTTCTTTGATATAAAGAGAGCAACTAAGATCAGAACAGGGAAGAAGAGCATGAGGAAAAGATTAACATTAAACAGAGACGAGTGGGGGGAGAGAAAGGGAGAGAGAAGGGAAACTATGGAAATGGAAGGAGACCCTCATTGTTACACAAAATTACATATAAGAGTTTGTGAGGGGAAAGGGGAAAAAAAAAACAAGGGAGAGAATTAAACAACAGCAGATGGGGTAGAGAGGGAAGATGAGAGGGAAGGGGAGGGGGGATAGTAGGGGATAGGAAAGGTAGCAGAATACAACAGTCATTAATATGGTATTATGTAAAAATGTGGATGTGTAACCGATGTGATTCTGCAACTTGTATTTGGGGTAAAAAATGGGAGTTCATAACCCACTTGAATCAAATGTTGGAAGATGATGTGTCATGAGCTTTGTAATGTTTTGAACAACCAATAAAAAAAAATAAAAAAATAAAAAAAATAATAAGGATCCTGTGCTCTCTATGTGTAATCAGAATTGTAATGCATTCCACTGTCATATATAAATAAAAAAGAAAAAATAATAAGGATCCTAATGGGTGTTAAGTTTCACCAGTTTAAATATTTAAATTAAATATTTAAATTAAAAAAGTGTTTGTTCTACAATCCCTGCTCGGTACTTTATTACTTTAACTCAGTATATCAGATGACTCATGTGTCCTTTTGTACACTATTGCCACTTTTCTTATAATTTCATTCTAGTATTTTTTTATATTATCATGAACTTTATTTAGATATTGGAGGACTTATTTCTAATATGATGTTAATTATGTGATGTCTGGCAAATGATATTTAGTACATCTTGTTGGTAACATTGTTAAAAATGCAAACATAACATACAGGGGAAATAGATATTTTTCTTTTATCCTTGTTTATTGTTTTATTGAATAGTATGCAATTTAAATATCAGAAATCAATGATATCTTTCAATTTTGATATGCAATTGATTATTCATGTCATTTTCCTGAAATAGGCTGACATGACCAAAGCAATTTTCCGAAACAGTATTTTAGAATTAATTGTATATCTTCTTTTATGAACACCCAAATAAATCCTTTTTTTCAGCAAATCCTGGATAAAGATTTTATGGTTCATGATGTTGCCTTTTTAATTTAGTTATAAGGTTTTGCCAGATACTCAAGAAGCAGCTTCATGGTCCATAATTAAATCCCTAGGCCTAGCTGTATAAAAGAAATTAAGTAAAATTGACTATATCATAAATCTTTGCTTCATTTTTTTTTATGATGGATAATAGGTTAGATAAAGGCTCCTAAACTTTAGAATGCTGGTGAATAGCAGCAAAACATACTGAGTTATTGCCCAAGTCCATTTGTCCTCGTGCCATCAGGTGTCAGGTCTTTGAATAGAGTCCATACTGCTTTTATCTGTATTTAACTAATTGTATGGTGCTGTAATCTAGAGCTACATTTCTCTTCAAAGTGTGTTTTCACTTACTGTGCTGTTCCTCAGTAAATAAAATAGAACTCTGACCAAGATCCTGTCAAAAATATGGAGATGTTCCTATAGCCCTGTTAATATAAAAAAGTTTATATAGAATGTAATCATTTTTTCATCCTATTGCCTTACCTTGATTGAAGATGTTGTAGACAAACTGCTAATATTCTGACTTCTCATGATGTTGACATGATTTCTTTACAAGTGGTTATCAAGGTCATATTGTTATATAAAAATAAATGTCTTCTAAAGTTTTGTCCTCAATGATAGTATATTGAAGTATTGTTCTGTTTGATAAGGTTGTTGCCATTACTTTTGTCCATAGGTACTGGGGACTTTAAAGAGAAGCTTATAGCTAAACCAACTTTTAATTTTATCTTCTAAAAAAAAGAAAAAGTGTATTAATAAGAAACAGTTTAGGAATAAGTAGATCAAACACATGTATATGTAACATATAAGACTATCTAATGTTTAATCTCTCCCTCTCTCCCCACCTTCCTTCCTTCCTTCCTTCCTTTTTTCTTTTTTTCTGGCATTGGGGTTGAATTCAGGGTATTCTACCACTGAGTTACATCCATAGACCTTTTTGTTTTGAGACAGGGTCTCACTAAGTTGACCAGGCTGGCCTTGAACTTGAAAAGTTCCTGCTTTAGTCTCCTGAGCAGCCGAGGTGACATGTGTGCTCCACCATGCCCAGCTAATTTCTTTTTCTTCAGCATTGAACATACATAATTATAAGGGGCTCAGGATTGGTCAAAAATAAAAATTTAGGGCTGATGGTTATAGCTCAGTGGTAGAGTGCTTGTTTAACATGTGCTAGCCCCTAAGTTTGGTCTCCCACACTGTAGGAAAAAAATGCAAAAGCAAACCATTTTTTAAAAACTAATTCTAAAATAATACTTTTGATTCTATTTAAAGTCATGCACTTTATGTTTTATGTTTCATGTTTTATGTTTCCCATGACTAGATGTAGTGTCTACTCCTTGGACTGTAGAATCTGGAGGTGATCAACTGAGAAACATGACCTACACTATAGTCCTTAATAATCCACTTACTAGAAAGTGCACTGCTGCCACTGAAAAGCAGGTATGCCTATCCTGTCAGTATTCTGAAAGAATCGTGTGTGTGATGAGAGAGAACCTGTCTACCGTAGTCACCAATTTACAAGATAATTTCAACAAAAAAATGGAGGAAAAATAAAGGAAGGGGGACTGTTGGAGGTTACAAGAGATTTACCAGGCATATAAACCATATTAATCCAAACTTAATTAAATAAACTACCTGTTAAAAAGAATTATTAACTTGTTATACATAATAATGGCACTGTAGCTGTGTTTTAAGGAACACACTATTTTTAAAAGAAATATATCAGTATATGTGTGTGTGTGTGTGTGTGTGTGTAAAAGAGATATGCTGAGATATTTATGAATGAAAGTATATTGATGCCTGAGATTCTTTTAAAACTAATCTAGCCAGGCAAAAAAATGGTGGTAGAAGGAGGGAATGTGGGAGTTGGGTACAGATAAAAAAAATTGGGCAGTAGATAATGTTATTAAAGTTGGTTGATGAGCTCATGAGGGCTCATTATACTTCATTTCTTCTACTGTGTTAACAATTTTTCATAATAAAATATTTTAAAAAGAGCACTTCTAAAATCCAACTTGCAGAATCATGTCAAAACTTAGTACCAAATAACTAGATGGCTATTGTGAAACATGGGAAAGAAACCAAACATAAGCTATTTAATGACCAGTTTGGCACTATCTTGGAGTAATCAATACTGTAATCAATAATGACAGTATTGGCAACTTGTGTTTAAGTATAATGTACCTGTTTTGTAAATACCCATTATAGTCTATGCTTTTGCAGTTTTGTTCATTACCTTTTAAATTTTTTTAAATATTGTCAAACATATAAGAAAAGTTTGGTATTTTTGTATCAGGGAATCTTTAATAACCTTGGAAACCTCATTTTCCCCTCTTAGAGGATAGGTAGAAAAGATATGGTTAAAATGAGGAAGGTTTATCTGACAGCCACTTTAAATCTGGTATAACAAAAGCAATATTTTTTGGTTGCCTTTGCTATTTGGGTGAAGGGTGGCTTGGTTAAACTTTGATAAATTTTGTATTATTTTTGATGAATTTTTGTATTATTCAGTTGATTTTTGAATGTCCGCCAATGCAAAGATTTAAAACTTCTTATAAACTAAGAAACATTCAAGAGATTATATGGTTCCTTTCCCCTCCTCATGCCTAAAATAAAAAATTAATTGTATAGTGAAATGACAGTGGGACATTAAATCTATTTCTGTGGGCCCCTTCTCACTTCATAGATGTCACAGTCAACGTGGAGGTTCTTCTAGCTTGGTATATAGATTTCTCATGTCTTTTGTAACTTCTGGGAAGGAATTCTAGTATATATGTTCTAAATTGCCAAAAAACTTATAAAATTGTTAAAATGTACATGCCAACATTTTTAAAATCTTATTTTGGCAGACACTGTATAAAGAAAGTCGAGAAGCACAATTTTATTTAATAGATTCAGAAGTACTGACACATGATGTCCCCTACCATGATTACTTCTATACACTGAACAGATACTGTATCATCCCATCTTCAAAACAGAAATGCAGGCTAAGGTGAGCTATCATCAATGAGTGTATAGTCAGAGTAGGCTAAATTATGCTCTGGTAACATTTTAACCCTGAATTTTTAGGTTTATACAATGAAGCTTTATTTCTTGCTTAAATTATATATCCTCAGAGAGCAGAAGAGGGGTGGGGCTCTTTACCCGAGACTCCAATTGATAACAGCTTTAACATCCTACCACACAATCCATAAGTGTCATTTCAGTTGCTATAGAAAGAGAAAGCTATAGAATTGAGCTCACAGTCCATTGCCCTGAACTCATCCCATGACCTTATTTTAGGGCAGGGGGGCTGGGAGTTCTGGGGGAGCAGATGTCGAGCAGTAACTGGCTGCAGTGGGAAGTGAGGATTGGTGCATTGAAGTGTGATGAGCTATCATATGCCTGGCCTAGTCCTAGTTAATGTGGTTACTCTTAACAAATATGTGACCACTAGAAATTTCATACAAGGCATGAAGAAAATTTAGCATTTACTTAGAGCCATGATTGCTATATCAGTCAGAAAAATTCAGGATTAGAGAAAGGAAAGAAATATAATAGCAAGTATTTAAAAGGAGAATTTGATGAAATTATTAACAATTCAGTAGTTTTTTGAAGGCATTATTAGTGAACAAATTTTCTTTTAAAATCTTAATGACTTTGAATCCTTTTGGCTTTCCACTGAATATAATCTTTCATTTAATTATAATATTAATATAACTATAGTATGACCTTAAATAAATATTTTTTCCTTCTTATCCTATTAGAGTTTCCACAGATGTGAAATACAGAAAACAACCATGGGGACTTGTCAAATCTTTAATTGAAAAGAATTCCTGGAGTTCTTTGGAGCAGTATTTTAAACAGCTTGGTTTGTAAAGTTTTTGATGCATCTATTTCTGTAAAGGTAGCACTTATTAATAAGATAAATTGCTTCTTCATTTGGATTCATAGCAGGAGACAATAGATGATGGTGGGAATGATTCACTAAAGTGGTTCAAAATCCCCTACTTGCTCTATCTCTTATGGGATTTCAAAACTTCAGATTTTTAATGGTCTATCAAACACTTACATAATGTTATTAATGCCAGATATATAATAAAATTTTTTGTACTTTATAAATACTAACTCATTTCATACTCATCCAGCCCTGCAAATAGGAATGATTATGCTTTTCCACTTTAGTATAGAGGAAATTGAAACATGGTATGGTTAAGTGACTTGTCCAGTATTATACAGTGAAGAGCTATCACAACCCCTGCCTCTGCAAGGAACCAAGAAAGATGAATACAGAGAGAGGATTATGTGATCAGGTCACAGATATATCCTGTGCTCTCTAAGATCTTGAAAGTCCTTAGGCCCACAACTTTCTTCTTTGTGGAAGGTTTCCTGGACTTGTGGAGGCCCACTTAGCAATGGTGTTATATACATGTATAGATTTGGTGGAGGTAGGTACTAAGGAGTGACTGGGGAAGTGATACAGCTATTCTGTTTGGATGTTTTTAAATATATACATATGTGAATGTAATTTTAATTGAGGAAAAACTGGAGGTCATTCATTTCATAGTATCATTTAGTTTTGTTGATTATTTTCCTGGCCTTATTCTCTTTGACTATTTCATTAGTAAACTTCTCATCAGAAGCAGAGAAAATAAAACTCAAAAATTATTTTGGTCACTGAATAATGAGCTAATTTAAAAAATCTTGTGAAGGAAAAGGTTGAAAGAAATAACAAAAATGAGGATTTCAGCTTGTGTAGATTTTTTTTTTTACTTGTGCTTCCTTTCTTGCAACCCCTCATTGAAAATTAAAACTATTATATGCTAGTCCTTCCTTTGAGGTTGACAAGTATCTTAGCCTATTTTGGAGATTTTTCTAATGATCCATTGTAAGTGGGTGGCCTGTTGTTTCCATAACTGAAACCATTACATTAATATTTAATATAGCACATGGCAAATTGGCATTGATGATCCCATCATTTATTAATACACATTCTTCCTAGAAAAATAAAACCTCATTATGGGGTCATCATACTCTCTAAAGCTTTTCATTAAGAATAAAGTTTGAATCTAGGCCATAAGAATCTAACAGATAGTTAAATCTTTAAAAAACCGTACTATCTTAGAGTTGAGAAGGTTTCCCTGTATTTAAAGATTTTGTTTTCCTTCTTAGAATCAGATTTGTTAATGGAAGAATCTTCGTTAAATCAATCTATTGAAGACCCTGGAAAACTTAGCTGCCTGCGGAGGAGAAGGCGAACTTTCAACCGAACAGCAGAAACAGTTCCTAAGCTTTCTTCTCAGCATTCTTCTGGAGATATGGGCTTAGAGACCAAAGGGGATGTTACAGGTAGCTGTTGTTGGTGAACAGATGAAGGACTTTAGCTCAGTTATAGAAAGCAGAAGGTCTCCCTTGTTTGTATGTCAGGATGTCTGTCTTTCTTCCCTATCATTTTGATAATGTTTATCACACTCTTGAGATCCTTAAAGATAACAAATACTAAAGCATAAAGGAGCAGTTATTAAAATGGCAGGCATATGGCCAAAAGTATTCTATTTAGCCCACACAGCATTTTAAAAATTGGACATTTTTATACAAAAACTCAGATCTGACAACCCTTCACAGCAACAGTTGGTTAGAGCTTCCTCCTTGCTGCCCCTTCAGATGCGTGTGTTCCTCTGCTGGCCACAGTCCCACCACAATAGCTTGTCCTGTCTTCTGGATCACTTCACTCATTTGATTTCTGTCTTTGAGAAGACTGTTCTTATGTACTCTCAGGGCCAGTTTAGGAAAGTTTCAAAGATGGAATTGACTTTTATTATCCCCACTCTCAATTTTGAAGACATTTTGCTGCTTCTGCCTTCTCAGCATTATAAAATTGTCATACCTCTCATTCTCCTACATTATCAAATCCTCTTTAGGCTTATAACTTAGTGTGAATGTTTAACACCATTTAAGATTAATGGCTCTTTAATTTTGGAATTTAAAAGTGTAGGCAACAGTGAATAGATGAGAATGATTTTTTTTAAAAGGAAGGAAGCTCTGTATATAAATCCAGCTCACATATTATTTTTTTAGTACTTAGCTGTATATCACACATGCTGTAATGAATTGCTTAATTTTAGAGTAAATTAATTTGTAATATACCCCAAATTTGAAGGATTGATGTAGGTGTTTCTTTGTAGATTTTTTTCTGCCTTACATAGGATACAAGAAATCAAAAAAGAGGCACAGGGAAACTACCCTAAATCACTTTATCTTATAACTTTTAAAATTTCTTTTTCAATTTTCAAATGAACATTAAATTTATATCAGTTGTAATCACAATCTTCACTCTAATGCAGCCTTTTTCTTGTGATCTTCAGGAAAGAAAATGAACACCCGTAACACTGCTCTTATTGTGGTGATGAGTATTTTGTAAGTATTTGTTGTGAATGCTCATTTTATTTGTGTCTTCATTTACTTTTAACTAGTTTCCCAAAGAATTTGGATGCATTTGTATATTATTGGGTTGAAATTACTACTATTTGACCAATGTTGGCCTACAAACCCAGCAATTTTATAGGTTTCAGTATGTAGTTTTTGATGTATGATTTTCATAGTAGTTAAATTTGGAGGAATACAAGTATGTATTTCAAAAACATTTTTAAAAATTTTTAAACAAATCAGATCCATTTCTACTATTATGGGTTTTTATGGGAAATTCCATAAATTTCAAAGGAATACTTATGTGTACATGCTGGTAAAGTCTCAATGATACTATTTTACTCTATTTGATTAGGTCAGTAGTTCTTACCATATACTGTGTTTAAGAATCACTTGGGGAGTTAGCTACAATGTGAATTTCTTGGCCCCAGTCCCAGAGATTGATTGGGTAGATCTCTACTAGGGATCAATAATCAGTATTTTAAAGCACACTCCACAGGTTATTCCAACACAAGTAATCTGAGCATCACATAGTGATGTGTTTATGTATATATGCGTGTGCGTGCGTGCGTGTGTGCGTGCGTGTGTGCGTGCGTGTGTGTGTGTGTGTGTGTGTGTTTGTGTATGCATTTGAATCTCAGGGTACACTCTAGGAATCTACTTAACCATTTATATTTAGAGAACTAATATCTACATGGGTCTATATGAATCTTGAGATAGTCCTTTAAATTGATTGAATTGGTTCTGACTCAGTGATACACTCTGGGTGATAATTTTTTGGAATGAAGCTTTTATATTAATTATTTTTCTTATTATAGATTTCAAATCAGTAAATATTGTTATTCCTTTGAGTTTTATAAAATGCTATCATATTTTGCTTAAATTGACTTTCTATGACAATAATGAATGGCAGATATTATCAATGTTATTTTGCATTACTTTGCAGAAAATTTATAGTCAAATATTGAAATATTGATCCCTATATAATTTCAATGCCATAATAATTTTATAGATTTATTTTCTTGCTACCTTTAAATTTCTTTTTCTTAAATCATTTTCTTGAAGGGTAAAGGTGAATTATTTTTTATTTTTTATTTTTGTGGTGCTGAGGATCTACCACTGAACTATATCACAAACTTCCATTATATATTTTTAATGTCAAGTCATTGCTTTAACAGAAAAAAAAGTAGATATGGTGTCATCTATATATTTGCATATATGTGTAATAAGATATGTATTCATTCACTTGAAAGGTTGCTATGAATACCAATACATTAAGTATATTTAACACATAACATTTTATATTTGACAACATTATTGTATACTGGGTATTTGATACTTCCTTTTTCCAGGATGAACAAGAGGAAAGTTTTGCTAAATGGTAATTGTTTGTTTAGTTTTTCTTTTTGGTTCCACTGGGAATAAAGAGATAGATCATTATCCACCTAAGATCAGCTGCATATCGATCTTCATTTCCTTTTTTAAAATGCAGCATTATGGGTGTATAATTGCTTAAGCCAAAGTACCCAAAAATAGATCCTGAAAGCTTACCTGGTAGATTTCTAAGCTGGTGGTCACATATCAATACTGGCTGGGATTCCAAGCAGAGAGGAGAGATGTCAGATACAATCCCAACCTGTGAGTTGGAGTTATTTAAAGACTTTTATTGTTACTCTAGTTACCCTCCATCTTTTTTTTCCCAATGTTCACTTAATATTTAAAAGTAATTATTTAACACAATAAAATAGGGATGATTTATTTAAGTGATTAGCAAATAGTCTTAGAAATACACATTTTTTGAGGCTTTTGCATATATATTGTGTACTAGCAATGCTTGAGGTATAAGTATGGATTAACCAGGTATGGTTTGTTCTGTTTAGTTTGCTGTTGCTAGTTTTGTTGAATGTGACACTGTTTCTGAAGCTGTCAAAAGTAGAATATGCTGCTCAGTCCTTTTACCGTCTCCACCTCCGAGAAGAGAAATCTTTAAAGTAAGTGTCATCCCACTCCCCAGCCTGTTTTCACCATATTATTTCAGCAGTTCTTTAGTTGTAGAAAAATCTAATTCCAGTCTTAAAAATTCTGGTCTCCTCATTACCCTGTAGTCATAATTAGCTTTTTTTGTTTGTTTGTTTACTTTTGTATTTTGTTTGCAATGTATGGGGCACTGACAATTTTTGGAAATGAAAGTTCAGAAGCTATTCTCTTGATTTGGGATGTTATTTTTCTTTCAGTTTAGCCTCTGATATTGTCTCAAGAACTGAAAACATTAAAAAGAACAAAGATCAGGCTCATCATTTAAAAGGAGTACTCCGAGATTCCATAGTGATGCTTGAACAGGTAGGCAAATGTCTGTACCAAAGTACTTAATACCTTCATACCAGTGTGAAGCAGTTGCTGTGGTTATGAGAGAATATTTCCTATACTATAATTTGAGGAAAATTTCTGCATTATACATATTATGTATGTAGCCATTGTATTATTCTTGCAAAACTGGGAACATAGTATACACATTGTTGAGTATCCTCTTTTTAAAATTAGTAATAGATTTTGAAAATGTTTGTATATATCAGTATGTATATATCTATGTACTTCGTTCTTTTTACTGGTCTTCTAGTAAAATTTTATGCTTAAAATTAAATTTTTATAGAAGTGGTAGCTCCTATATACACTCTTCATTATTTTTCTTTTATGTATGAATGATATATCTTAGTGATACTTCTGTGTCACCATATAAAGCACTTCCTGTTCTTTTAATAGCTGCATAGGGTTGAACTGTATAAATGTGACATAATTATTTTACCAGTTTTTCATTAAAGTGAATACTTAGGTAATTTCATTATTTTGTTATTGTCCTCTCTTGAACATGGTCTCACCAGTATGTGCTAGTTAGTTCTATGAACTAGACTTAGAATTTCCTTTGAAAAGTGAAGATTAATATTTCCATTATGACTATAACACAGTCACTTTTCAAAATTAAAAAATAGAGAGTATTACAAGAGAATATATAGTTTTAACATGCAGATACAATTACTGTTAATAGTTCATTTCCTTCTGTCCCTTTCTTTTTTAAAAACATATTTATTTTTTAGTTATAAGTGGACACAATATCTTTATTTTATTTTTATGTGGTGCTGAGGATCAAACCTGGTGCCTCATGCATGGTAGGCGAACACTGTACCTCTAAGCCACAACCACAGCCCCTTCTCTTTCTTCTATGTATTTTTTTAAGAATATTCAATTATAGTTCTTGGACTTTCATGTGGGCACTAAGGTTACAGCTTCAACTTGGTGCTTCTCAGATATGCTGTACCTACAGTTCCTTAGTGACTTTCCTCCCACCCTCAGCAAGGACAGATGGTGTTCACTTTTCCCCTTGCCCTCTCCTCCCATTTTCCCTCTCAATTGATGACTGTGCCATATGGAGAAAAGAGAAACTTCCCCTCTTCCTTCGATAATCAATCTATAAATCATCCTATCCTTGCACCCCCATTCTCTTCTTGACTAATTTTAGAAACACTCCTCCACCTGTGGGAGGTAAAGTTCCAGTGTGTGTTAGTGGGTGACTTCATCCATCACTTCTGTAGCTTCTCCACACCTTCCTTCATTCGTTCCCTTGTTATCTTACTACTGAGGATTGAAACCAGGGGCACTCTACCACAGAGCTATAACTCCAGACCTTTATACTGAAACAATATCTTGCTAATCCTCCTGCTTCAGCCTCCTGAGTAGCTGGGATTACCTCTCCATTTTCATTCTCCCTCATCAAATAGATCTTGACCATCAGCACTTAACTCTGCTCTGTTATCTTCTACATTAACAAACCTGCTTTACCCACATTTGTTTTCTACCCCTTTATATCTACTTCTTTTCATGGTCAGGCACTTTGGCTGTCATACTTTATATTTCATTTTTCAATTTTTATTTTCATCAAAAATCACTTCACATAAAGAATTAACTTGTTCTACAAGGCTTATTCAGAAAAGTGGCAATCTCAGTACTCTTTCCCCCATTTCTTTCCTGAAGTTCATATGTAACTCTTTCAGTTCACTCTTTTGCTTACATCCGTATTTGTCAACAACCAGGTATTGTTAATTCTTGATTTTTTTCAGTTTTAGACATTATCTTTTGACTTTCTTTTATGGAAAACAAGGTTTTGGTTTTCTTTCCTACCTCCCACCCACCACACATACATTTCAGATTCGTATTATCTTTCCAGTGAAGTTATAATTTTGGTTAGAACAATACTCAGTATTTGCTGTTTTGACCAAGTTTGCTATTCCAAGATGAGAGCCATAAAATTAAACCATAACTACCTTCTCTGTGCTTTTTATTATCCTTAAAGTTCTTATTATAGTTGATTAGTTTATCAGTATTACTTATAAGCATTTCATCTCCTAATTCTGTTTACAGATCTCTTCTCAAAATCTTTATTTACTCAGGTATTCTACTGATGGAGCCTTCTGACTAACTCTAGTCAGGTCTGGTGATCCTGTATCTGGTGTGCAGCTGTCCTCCTGGGGATTTCTGTTGTCTGTCTCCTAGCTTTCCATGTCCCATGTTTTCCTTTCTTGGCTTTTTTTCTTTTTCTTTTTGCTGTGCTAGAGACTGAACCCAGGGCCTTGCGCCTGCTAGGCAAGTGCTCTGTGGCTGAGCTGTATCCCCAGGCCCTGCATTCTCCTTTTAATGGAGCACATTCTCTAGTAGTGCCTCTGAAAGGTGTGGCACATAGAGTGGCACAAGCCTGGCCTATAATCCCAACTCCTTGGGAGGCTGAGACAGGAGGATATCAAATTTGATGCCAACCTGAAAATTTAGTGAGACCCTATCTCAAAATTTTAAAAAAGGGTTGGAAATATAGCTCAGTGATGACTGCCCCTGTGTTTAATCCCCGCTAAAAAAGAAGGAAAAGAAAAAAAACAAGAAAGGAGGAAGAAAATCCCTTTATTGTACTTTTAGTAGGGTTTGAAGAGGGAGCAAGTAGAATGTATGCATTTTCTCTCCCTGTTATTCCCTTTATGGATATTGTTTGAGATAAGGTTTTCTGTGATCTTTAGCATGTAAAAATTATGTCTTTTTAAAGTCTTAATCTTATAAAGTGTCAGCACTATTTGAAACTGACCACACCTTTCTTGAAATATAGCTAATCTTGCCTTCTTTAAAACCATAAAAAGCTTTATTGTGACATAATTCAAGTAATATAAATTCACCCTTTTAAAGAATGTTTATTATATTCGCAAGTCTGTATAACTATCACCACCATCTAATTCCTAAGTATTGTCATCACCCCCAAAGAAAACCTTGTACACATTAGCAGTCACCCCCCTGGCACACACCAATCTGTTTTCATTACTATGGGTTTGCCTATTTGGGACATTTCATATAAATGGCTTATATAAGATGTGTTATTTTCTGTCTTCTTTCAGTTAGAATAATGTAAAGCTACTTTTTGTTGGTCAAAATCAACTCTTATACTCACTTCTTCCTGGCCCAAATGCTTTACAGCTCTGTGATAGATTCTCTTTCCTTCTCCATTACTTTCCCTTTAGGTGTTCTCATCTACTCCCCTAACTTTAAATAATCACATTAGCTTCTGACTCCTTCCTTACTGTCTTGTGCTGCTATGACAAAATACCTGAGACTGGATAGTTTATAAATAACAGAACTTTCTCACAGTTCCATAAGCTGAGAAATTCAAGATAAAGGAATAGGCAGGTTCAGTGTCTGAGGGTTATTGCTCATAAATGGTGCCATCTAAGTGTAAGGACCTAGCTAGTTTCCTTCAGCCCTTTTATAAGAGCACTACTCTGAAGGCAGAGTCTTCACGACCTAATCACTCTCTAAAGACAACATCTGTTAATATTGTTGCTTTGGGGATTAAGTTTTAACATGAATTTTGGAGGTGATATAGTCAAGCTGCAGCAAACCCAAAATCTGTATTTCCTACTCTGACCCCCTTTCCTGAGCTTTACCCTAACGACTTAATGGGCATTGCAAATCCATCAGAACAAAACTCAATTCCCTTCTAGTGAACCTCATTTCAGAAAATACTATTTTCCTCTAATTACTCATGTTAAAAATGTGATAAAGTAGGGCTGAAGATATAACTTAGTGATATAGTGCTTATGTAAGCAAGCCCCAGCACCACAAAAATAAATAAATAAAATGTCTAAGTTTATACTTATGTATGTGACTATTCATTTTAGTAACCCTCACTAGTCTGTAAGCTCCATGAAGGTGGGGAGCCATTTTATTTATACTCAGTCTTAGAATAGTGATCAGCATGTAATAGATAAGCAATAAATATTTGTGGAATGAATGAGTGAATACAAGAAAGAATAAGACATAATTCTTCGTCCCAAGTTGTTTATAATTTTATTAGAGAAATCAACATCCATGTGTATTGTTAAAGACTAAGAAAAGTATAAAATTCAGCATCAGAGTGTTAAGTAGTAAAGGTATTATTCTGGGGGTTTAGAAGCAACATGATTAAGGAAAACCACAGAGACAGAGGGTATGTATAAGTTTTAGATGCGCGAACAGGAACATGAACATAATAGTAAGGAACAGCCCATCAGTGGAACTTAAATTGTGTAGGAATAGTGAAGAGACCAGTCCAATTTCAGAAATCATTTAAGAAAATGAGCCTTTCACTCGGGATAATTTGATTAATGGACATATTGGAAAGTAGAATATAAAGTAGTAGGAAAAAATGCAGTACTCCAGCTGATGAGGGGAACTGTGTAGCAAACAGCAGATATCCTAAAGAATTGAGTGTGTTATATTCAGTTTTTATTTGTATAAACAAAACTCTATTGAATTTAATTGTAAAGTTTTGGCATAAAATAATCAAAGAACTTTAAAAATCTGACTTTGAAAATTAATCTTGTTTGCAGCTGAAGAGCTCACTCATTATGCTTCAGAAAACCTTCGATCTACTAAATAAGAACAAAACTGGCATGGCCGTCAAAAGCTAGTGATCTATGGATTGAAACTGTAGAAATACTTGGAACTAATAGAAAACCTTGGGAAGAAAGTCAGAGGATGAAGGATTTTCATTGTCATATGAACATTTCCACGTTTTCATATTATTTGGATTCCTAATATGAAATTCTTTTTAATAACATTTATTTGATAATTATTCTCTGATGGCCTTATAAATTTATCCTTTCATTTCCTAAAACATGTTTTTAAGCTGTGAACTTCTTCAGTGAACCATGAAATATATTCTGGAATTGAAATGCTGTGATTAAAAAAAAAGAGAAAAGCAAACACTCTGAATTGAATGTACAGCCTCTTTTCTACACTGAGGCTTGGAAGTTTGATGCTTTAAATTTATCTGTTAGCACAGAACCAATAAGTGTCCAGTAGACTGCTTTCACAGTTGAGATAAGCTTAAGAGACTAAAGAAGATAATATAAGAAACCTCTAAATCATTACTAATATTAAAGGATCAGTTTTCAGGCATACAGGACATTTCTGATTTTGTGTAAAATATTACAATATCTCCATTTATTTGGCATGCAAATTCAGTGGTCAAACCTTTGAATCTGCATGTTGATGGTTATTATCAGAAAGGTTCCTTAGCCATGTTGTATCTTTATGAAAGAGTTATTTTTTATTAAGGTAGCAGAGGTGAGATTATCTTGCCTCTTTATGCATCAAATGGCATAAGAGGCAATTTAGGAAAAGGAAATATGTAGGACACAAATGCTCAAAATGAAGATCCATCCCCTGGGTTTAAAAAACCAGATGATGTTAAAATCTGGGCATTTAATGACAGATCAAATGCATACTTGAACTAAGCTTGGGTTCAGCTTAGCAGTCTTTCATGGAGGAAGTGACTTGTCTGGTTGAAAATAATCTGTGTATTACCATTCAGTAGTCACTTATGGCTTCTGTGTGTTTGGTAGAGGGAGGGGCTTATTTTAGTTGTAAGTTATAAACCAGACACAAAATTTAGCTCTTTAATAAAATACTTCTGGAGCATTTATGTCCCAATACAACTTAACTGACTGAAGCTGTTAGACAATCTTGGGCTCTTCCATAAAAAGTTTTTAGGCATTTATGTCAATACAAGTAATTCGTGAAAATAAGGACTTCGTGAGTTTACTTGAAATCAGACATTTTTCCAGGAGGTAGGAAAAGTTTGGGAAGTCATTTGACAAACAATATTTTGATGGTTGCTTTAAAACGTATACTTTAATAACATACCTCAAAGAAGATTACCAAAGTTGCTTTATAAATTAAGACTATAAAGTCAAAATTTAATTCATAAAATTTGAACCTGCTATGTAAACTGAAAATAAATAAAACCTGAAATGTCTGAGTTGTAATTTTTCTTCATTTTCTGTTTAAAAACAAAAGCAAAACATCCAGAATGCCCGATGTAGTGAAAACGTATACATGGGCCAACACTCTTAAAAAAATTCAGTGCAAAACAAAACCCAAGAGGTCTCTTAGGGTAATTTTATATCAAATACTCAGACTACTGGAACAGAAGTATTGGAAAGGCCTGCTGGTCGAATGCAGACTGCTGGCCACAAATCATGAGAATGAACAAGTTGGATAAATCAACAGATCTGGGAGCAGCGATGGGCCTTTAAGGGAAGGTCCCGGAATATGGGGGAGGTACCTCGGTAACATTTGCGCTGCTCGCCCCCAATGCCTGTTGCCGGCGTCAGAAAGAAGGCTGCCGGACCCACGGTCTCACGTAGTTCGGAAATCCTCTGGGTTCCCAGTATTTCCGTCTCCGCACCCCGTCCACACCCCGAAGGTTCGGGAGGCTGCCCCGCCGACGCTCCGCCCGCAGGCAGCCGTGGTGCTCGGGCGCGCGCGGTTACCTTGTCCGCCCCGCGCCTCTGCCGCTCGGACGGGCTCCGGGAACCAGCCCTCTGGTCCGGCGAGGGGTGGGGCTTCGCCGGCTGGCTCGCGGGGCGGCGGGCGGCGGGCGGCGCACGTGCGGGCGGGCGGGGATCCCCGGCGCCGGGGGCGGGGAACCCGGAAGCGCGCGCGGACTTGCCGCTCCTCGCCGGGCCGGCGGGGACGGCTCAGGGAGGCGCCGCCCGGGCCCCTGGCAGGCTGTGCTCACAGGTGGGCAGCTGCGGCGTGGGCACGGCCGAGCGGAGCCGGGGTCCCCGACTCTAGCCGTCACGCCAGGAGCCCCACAGAGTCGAAATTCAGAGACGCTTCCGCGCCTGTGGTGGAGCAGAGCCTTTCCCATTCGGTCTCCGCCTCTTTTTCTGCAGCCGCACCTCCGTCGGGAGAGCAGGTAACTTCCCTTCCAAGGTCATTCTCCGAGCGGGGCGGCGCTAGAGGCCCGCCCACGTCCTCCAATTTGACAGTGGAGGTGGAGACGCGCTCCGCGAGAGGCTGGACGGCGACCTCGGGGCTGCAGGGGAACCTTGTAGCGTTCCCCCAGGCGGTTGGCGGCTCCAGCATTGGGGCGCATTAGCTGGTACGAGCAAGCGTACGCTTCGCTGTTCCCTGCACCCCCGGGGGTGAGTTTCCACAGCACTCAGCCTTGGGGCGGGGACCGCTCGGCCCTTCCCGGCCAGCTCCGCAGGTGAACTCTACCACCCGCGCCGGGGATGTCCCGGGCCGCGTGGTCGGCTGTCGCCATGGGAACGTCTTGTGCCCAGAAGGCGCCTGCCCCAGATGGGAAGGGGTGGTGAAGCAGCTTGGAGCCCTAAGATCCTAGGAGCCCCCTGTCAGACCATATGAAGCCACAAAAGCTTGATGAAATTGGGACCCCTCCCCCACTTTCTTTTCATTTTTGATTGTTCAGGCGTTGGTGTTCATCAGAGAGAGGTGTGGATGTATTTACAAGATATGAATTGGAGTCTTTCCACCTTTACCTTTTGAGGGCTGCTTACATCTCATGGTGACAGGTGCAAATCACAGCACAGAAGGGCAGTCAGTATGAAGCCAGTGAAAAAAAAGAAAACCGAAGAACCTGAATTGGAGCCCCTGTGCTGCTGTGAATACATAGATAGAAATGGGGAAAAGAACCACGTGGCTGCTTGTTTGTGTGATTGTCAAGATATCGATGAAGGGTGTGATAGGTAAGAACAGAGCTTTTCTTGATGCTGACTCTACTGGTCCTTTTAAGAACTACCATGTGTACTTTTAGCTTTGCCATCCAGAATGCTGGATTTTGCTCTTGATTCCATTTTCAAGGATCAAAAATTGAGAATTGTTTTCTATGTCAAGTGTGGGGATTTTATAAAGATTGTATGCAGTAGTGTACACTGGTCCAGCTCAATTTACTAGAACATTATTAATTTTCATTTAAAGAGAGATGATGATGATGGAGAGAACAGGCAGATAAGGTATACCAAGCAAGTTGTTATGTATATTAAAAAAAACCCCAAAAACTGTAAGCTAGCAGAATCTGTAAGTTTAAAATAAACACAGTAGTTCCAGAAAGTTCCTATATTCTCAGTGGCCTTTCATTAGAGACTGACTACATTCTTACCTGGTTTCAAAGCACCTTGAGGTTTGAAAGATCATTTTTGTGTTGTTGCTGGTTTTGCACCTTGTTTCTGAGGAGGAGCTCCAGCCAAAAGGCATGAACCTCCTCTGGATCGACTGTTTTCAGGGTGAGCAGTGACGCCATCTTGATTGATCACATCATATTGTGCCTTTATTTCCACCACTCTCAATGATAGGAATTACTGTCCAAGAAGATAATTTTTAACATCACTGAAAAAAATGTATGTCAAACAGGAATAAACTGTTTTTTACCTACTTTCTGAATGGAAAACAAGAATGTGAGAAGAGTAGGGATATTGGACATTTGATTTAATTATTTCTGATTTAAAAAGTCATTTCACCTGCAGATTGTTAACTTAGACCTTGGTGCATTAATCTAGCCATGAAAAGCATCCTCTGGGGACCACTGCAGTCTTGTACTAACGTTGTCTCATAAAGACTCCATTGCTTCTTTATATTTCTTTAGATTTAGTCTAAAATCCATACTGAGAAAATGGAACACTTTGCACTAATAAATGGTAAAATTATGCTTTTTCCATTTAACCACTGTCACTTAGACCACAGCCTTTCCATTAACTTTGTTTTTTCTCCTTCCTATTCCTTAAGACTGAGGCTGTCCCCTGAACTCTCTCCTCTGCTCTCTTTATACCTTTCTCCTCTGGAGATAGAGTTCCAGTGTTTCCACTGTCCCTGCTCCTCTGTATGATTCCCATGTAGTTACTCCCACTCACTTCAAAGTTCTAGTCCTACTGAATAAAATTGTCTAAAATCAAAGTTCTTTCCTATTTTCTATCTTTCCATATTAGCCTTAATTCATTCACGCTTCTATAACAAATACCTTAGACTGGGAGTTTATAAATGATAAATTTATTGTTCACCATTCTGGAGACTGAGAAATCTGAGATCAGAGTACTGGTAGAATCAGTATCTAGTGAGAGTCCTCCTATTCCTCATAGATAGCACCTGCATCCCCACATGGCAGAAGGGGTGAGTGATCTTTGTTGGGCTTCTTTTCTAAGGGCACTCATTAATCACATGAGAGTTCTGCCTTTGTAACATAGTCGCCTCCTAAAGACCCCATCTCTTAATACAGTTGCCTTGAGGATTAGGTTCCAATGTATAACTTTGGTGGGATACCAGTGTTCAGCATTCCACCACTGACCCTTCAAATTCATGTCCTCACATGCAAAACACATTCATTCCATTCCCCAAACCTCAAAATTCTTTATTTTTCCAGCATCAACACAAAAGTCTTAAGTTCAAATATAATTTAAATATCATCTAAATCAGATATGAGTAAGATTCAAGTACAGTTCATCCTGAGGCAAATTATCTCCTAGCTATGAACCTGTGAAATAAATAAATTGTGTGCTTCTGAAATACAGTGATGGGACATGAATAGAACAGACATTTCTAGTTCAAAAGTAAGAAGGAGAAAGGAATGAAAGCTCCTAACCCCACAGGGAAAACAACATTCAGGCTTGAGAATAAACTTGGGCTTGAAGTTCTACCTTCCAGACATACTGAGATGGAGAATGGGCCCCTACAGCTCTGAGCACTCCTCCCTCTATAACTTGCTGGGTGTGGCCCACACTGAAGCTCCAATGAGTTGGAGTCATGTGCTTACAGCTCTCTTTCCCTGGCTAGAGTTGCATACTCGTGGCTCTACCAGTCTGGGGGCCCCAGGCAGCCCTATTAGGTATGGGAAAATGGCCCTACTCCCATGACTCTGTAGGCTTTGCCCTAGTAGGGGCTCTCTGTGGTGGCTATGTCCCTGTGTCAGTTCTTTGCCTTGGCCTTGAGGCTGTTATGTCTCTACAGCTCTTAAGAATTGGTACTTATGAATGCCACCAAGATTTACCCCTAGAAACCCTTGGAGTGGTGGACACTGTAGCCTATACTGCACTTGGGTCCATTGGCGTCACACCTGGGCCTGCTGTGAAATGCTGCACCAGAATTTAGGGATAAGAGACTTAAGGTGGCACTGGGCAGCAAGCCCTGAATTCTCACAGGTACACTGGGTCTTTCCTATGCAACTGTTCTGTCGTCAAGGCCCTGGCATTCTAGACTTGTATTGGAAGTGGAGCTTTCAGGGTCATTCTTCCATTGCCTTAGTGAATGGCATGACTGGTCTATATACTGATCTCCTCACCCACACCCTTAGTGTTTGCCCCCAAACATACTTTCTCATTTGTTACAATATAGACAGGCTGAGAACTTCCAAATCTAAGTTCTCTTTCCATTTTGATTATAAATTCTATCTCCTAAAGTCTCCTCACATTTTATTATAAGCATTCAAGAGAAGCCATGCAGCACCTTGAACACTGTTCAGAGATTTCTTCCATCAAATATCCAGTTCCATCCCTCTTGACTTATAACTTCTACAAAACACTATGACATGAACATAATTAAGCCAAGTTCTTTGTCACTTTGTGTCAAGCCTCACCTTCTAGTTTCTCATTTCCACTTAGACTTCATCAGAAAGGCCTTTACCATTCATATTCTAAATATTCTGCTCATGATCTCTTAGATAATTTCTAAGATTGAGGCTTTTTCTCTACCGTTCTCTTCTTTGAGCTGTCACCAGAATTGCCCTTACACAGTAATGTAGGTTTTTTTTTTTTTTTTTTTAAAGGATGCACTTCAAAACTCTAGCCTGTGTCCAGTTCTGAAACTGCTTCCATATTTTTAGGTATTTGTTATAGCACCACCCCACTTCTTAGTACTGATTTCTATCTTAGTCTCTTTGGGCTATAACAAAATACCTTAGATTGGGGAAGTTATAAATGACAGAAATTTATTGCTAACAGTTCTGAAGACATGGGAAGGCCTGGGTACGAGCACATACTGTGATTGGTGAGGGCTGCTGTCTACTTCATAGATGGTGCCTTCTTGCTGCATCCTCACATGGAAGGAAGGCAAATGAGCTCTCTTGGCTTCTTTTATAAAGTATTAATCCTATTTGCTCTCATGTATGACCTGATCACTTCCTAAACTCCCCCCCCCCTCCGCTTTTTGGTACCAGGGATTGAACCAAGGGATGTTCAACCACTAAGCGACATCCCCAACCCATTTTTTATTTTGAGACAGGGACTCGCTAAGTTGTTTAGGCCCTCACTCAGTTGCTGAGGCTGGCTTTGAGCTTGAGATTCTCCTGCCACAGCCTCCCAAGCTGCTGGAATTATAGGTGTGCACTACCATACCCACTCTGACCCCCTTTTTTAAAGATAGGGTCTTACTAAGTTGCCCAGTTGGCCTTGAACTATTGGGCTCCAGGATCCTTCTGTCTCAGCCTCCCAAAGATTAGCTGGAACTATAGGTGTGCATGCCAATGTTTCTGGCAGTCCTATCTCTTAATACCAATGTGTTGAGGATTAGGTTTTAGCACGTGAATATGGGGGAACATAGACATTCAGACCATAGCATAGCCTAAGTGTGCAAAAGTGTCAACAGACACCATTCTGTTTATTAGGGTCAGGCATTTAACTCATACTAGTTTGATCTCCATTCTTTTTTGTGCAGAGCCCTGTCCCTGCTGAAGTGATGTGCTGTCCAGGACAGGTCTTGTGCTATACTCATTCCTCTTCCTTTCTCCCTTCCTCTCCACCCACATAAATGCTAGCTGGCTATCAGGGTCAAGTACAGATCCATTTTTTTTCTACTAAGACCCCTCTCATGACTCCAACTTCTTCAGAACTCTTTTTATAATGTTTGATCATAAGAATTCATTAGAGGATTATTGTTGCTTTGTCCCTTATATAGTATTTTGTAGAATTCTCATTTTGTTTGTACAGGCTGTGATTTTTTGAGATTGTTTTAACCATATACACACCCATATCTATATATTTCTTGTATTGAGTATGTGTATATACTTATTAAATACCTATGTATTTGTTTAAGAGATAATCTTGACTGTTAAATTTCTAAATATTATCTTCTTGTTCCTGTTTTTTAAAGTCTGAAAAGCTCATGCTTAGTAGTAAGGAAATAAAATGCTTGGCCTTTAGTCTCTTATCATTATCCTGCTATTTGGCATTCAGTGTTCAGTAGTTTTGAATTCAGCAGACCTATATGAAGTGCCTTCTCTTTGTGCTCTTTCTGAATAGATGGCTTACGTGTAAATCAGTGCAGCCAGAGACTTGTGAAAGAATCATGGATACAATTTCTGATCGCCTCCGAATTCCGTGGCTTAGGGGAGCCAAAAAAATTAACATTAGCATCATTCCTCCACTTGTCCTTCTGCCTGTCTTCCTTCACGTGGCTTCCTGGCATTTCCTCCTGGGGGTGGTGGTTTTGACCTCCCTTCCTGTGTTGGCACTGTGGTACTACTACCTCACTCACAGAAGGAAAGAACAGACTCTGTTTTTCCTGAGCCTTGGACTGTTCTCATTGGGCTACATGTACTATGTGTTCCTGCAGGAAGTGGTTCCCAGAGGGCATGTGGGGCCCACTCGGCTGGCTGTTCTTACCTGCGGGTTGTTTCTGATACTCTTAGCCTTGTATAGAGCCAAGAAGAATCCAGGCTACCTCAGCAATCCAGCAAGCAATGACAAATCCCTAAGCAGCAGCCAAAACGAATGTCTGAGCAAAAAAGGGCAGGAGAAGACCAAAGGGTTCCCCGGAGCCGACACGTCGGGGAGTCTCAACAACCGCACGCTGAAGGATGATCTTAAGGGCTCCTTCAGGATGTTGGCCAGCAGCCCCACCAAGGTGAAGGAGGACTGGTGTGCCAAGTGCCAGCTGGTGCGACCAGCCCGGGCCTGGCATTGCCGTATTTGTGGCATCTGTGTAAGGAGAATGGATCATCATTGTGTCTGGTATGTTGGAAAAATTGGGAGGCCTGGAAAGTGTGAATTCATGTACAGCTCCCTAGTCATATTTGATCTTTGTGCTAGCCTAAAATTCCTCTCTTTCCCAGCTTTACACCTTGTAGATATTTGCAGGCCTTAGGGATGTTCCCACTTAGTCATCAGTTTTTTGAATTTCACAGATTTAGTTTCTTCAGTTATTTCCTGAAGGAGAAAAACGCTTTGGGTGTGGTTTTCCTTTTTCTTTCTTTTTCATTTTGCAATTTTCCTTTGAACTACTCATTTATTTTCTCCTTTTTAATAGAGTTGAATGATTTTTTTAAAAACAGAATTTATCAGCATATGTGTATTTTTCTCTGCTATTCTTTTTGAACAGAGGGCTCGGGAACGTGTTCTCCTATTTTTAGGTAACTCTTTTGTTCTCTTGCCATACACCCTTAATGATTTTTGATGCTAACAGTAATTTTCACTCAACATTATGGAGTTGAAGCGCTATCAGATAACTACTTATTTGCAGAAGGATGGGCTTCTTTTATACCTTCCAGCTGGCCAGTGGCTGAGGAACTTATGTAAAGTTCATTAGATACACAGTGCAACATTTAAAGACAACGTCTGCAGCTTTACGGAGTTACTCTACACTGAAGGGAGAATTGAGTATTCAGGTACAGGACTGCTGTTAAGTAGCATGTTTGTAGCTTCATTGCTCTTAAGGTAGTTGTGATAATTGAATTGTGTTTTTTGGCCATATAGCTTGCCTCTTCTTAGCAGGGGATGCAGGAGAAGGTGAGGGTGCTGGAAAGGCCAGGAGGGCATCGGAGTGGAACTCAAGTGTACAACCCAAATACAGGGGCAGCTCTTTTCTGGGACTTTGTCTTTAGGGGTAAACAGGTATTTCCATTTTTAGATATTCTACTTCTTTGACTTCATCACTTATTCCTGTGTGTGTATATATATGCTAGTTTGCCAAGGGCCTAACAGCCTCTCCCAAGTGAAATCTACTTGGCCTATCTGAGCATCTTGGTGTGCAATAGGCAGGAGAGACTGCTTGTCCATCCTGCCCTACAAATGGCCATGACACCGAACTATTTTTACCTGACAAGTAGCCTGTATGTTATTAGGTTACCCCACACTATGTTTCTAACCTCTTTGATCCTTTTAATAATCTCCTGTACTGAATACTTCTGACTTAGCATTTTTAAAGATTTCATAACTCTACCGTATAGCTTCCTTTCTTTATTTAGCATGGTGATGGTGCTGTTGACTCTCTGTCACTTGCTAATAGACTTTGCTTATTAATACCAAGGAAGAGGAGTTAGGAATGTAGCTCTATGGCAGAGCCCTTGCCTAGCATGTGCAAGGCGCTGGGTTCAATTTCTAACATAAAATAATGTCAACATATGTGTATATATTTTAAATGATTCCTTAGCTAGGTCTGCTTTTTGCTTTTTTAAAAAATTAAATGATAATGATTCTACTTGGTAAAGAACATAGAATATAGGTATTGCTCAGTTTGACAAGTTTTAATTTTTTAAAGTTGAAAAAGAGAACTTAACATTTTAATAACTGAATTACATTATTCTTATTTTAAAAGCTTTCTTATTATTTAAGTTATATAAAGAACCTTTAAAATATGTTTGCTTTTCATCCCCATGCTGTTTCTAGGATAAACAGCTGTGTTGGAGAATCAAATCATCAAGCATTTATACTTGCCCTTTTGATCTTCTTGCTCACTTCGGTGTACGGGATAATGCTGACCTTGGACAGCATTTGTAGAGATAGAAGTGTCTTCACTGCCCTTTTCTATTGTCCTGGAGTTTATGCAAATTACAGGTGAGATATGTATCCCAAAGTTGATACACCCAGCCAGGAAGTAATAGATGTTGTCATTAACAGGAGCTGTTATTTGCTGTTAAGTTAGGATTTGTTCAAAATGAAGGACAGGTTATAGGGATCCTGGGTATCCCTGAAATTGCCAATAAAATTCTGTTGTGGTTATATGCATTTTTCTAGGGTGATGTCAAAAGGATTGTTAATACTTAAAAACTGAGGAGCTAGTACTATACAGACAGGCCCAGGCTTAATCAGGAACTTTCAGAGTCAAATGACCACTTGCACACCCAAGGTAACAATAGTGAAACTGAAACAATAAATATAACTAGCAATACCAGGAATCATTTTTCACTTTATTGCTACTTTCAGGTGCTCTTTAGTCCAACCTTAATTTACTGCTTCTGATTCTTCTGAAAAGTGCTTATGATCTTTATAACCTTTCTTTTCTTTCTTACTTCTCATGGTTTTTCCTGTTCTTTTTTTTTTAATCACTCATGATTACTGTGGTATCTAGGTCAAAATTTCCTTAGGCATTATTAGGTGGGGGCCTGTTTATACCCTGTAAAGTTTTCAATGCAGTGGCAAAAACTGGGACTCTTCAGAGTTGGCTTTGTCACCCCCACCCCTCAACACCATGCGCTTCCCTGCAGCATTCTTTTTCCTTTCCTCCATCATTGTCCTCCAACATGGGTGTTCCGCAAAGGTTGTGGTACTTTCCTCTTTCTTTTCATTCGCCTTTCTTCAGAACCATCCCTGCTTTCTCCACATAGTATCCTGTGCGAATTCTTTTTTTTTTTTTCAGTCTATGGACAGATTTCCCCACTGTTACTCTAGATTGGGACATTTTGGGGTGTTATTAAAATAGATTGGTTCTCTTCCTCAGGGCACAATTATTTCCTAGACGACTGGAGACTGTTATAGAGTTTTGGAATTCTTGGCTGACACTGTGGGTGATGAATGTCCTTCTGCAGCAGAGCCTGTTGCCATGACATCATGGAACCCCAATTTTCTCTCTCCATGTACAATCCAAAAGAACTCCAATTCCTGTGATAACAGACTCCGGTTCCATGACTCTCTCTGTAGAACCCTGCATCCCAGGAAACACCATCATCATCAAATGTCCATTATGTGGCGCCTAATGTAGAGCCCATCAGAATGTACATCAAAACACCAGTTATGATTCTACCCTTCCACATAGAGAGCAGCAGCCCTGCACATCCTGCCACCCATTGAAATCCTATTCCATGTATATCCAAGGAGAGCAAATCTGTCCTGGGAATTTTGCATTAATAGAACGCAAGTTTCAAGGATCTCCATGTAGAGCCCTTCAGTGATGTGGAAACACCCATCACAAATCTCCAGTCCCTGATCTCCAATATGAGTCCATCAACCATGAGAATCCACATCATAGAACCAGTGAAATGGTTCTCCACAAAGAAACAACATTCCTATACATTCTGATATCAAGAAAACCTCTATGCTGTGACTGTAAACATAGTGCCCAGCATCCTGGGAATTGTGCAATTAATAGAATCCTAGTTATTTGGATCTTTGTGTAGAGCACAGGAAGAGCTCCAATCATAAAGTTAATTTTCCTTAGTCTTCATGTAGAGTCCAGGAACACTGTGAATCCTGCCATCTTAGAACCTTAGTTCCCTGGGACTTCCATGTACTACTGGCAGCATTCCAGGCCCTGCCATCATTGAAGCCCATTTCCCTGCATCTCCACATAGAGTCCATCAGCCTGTGAGTCCTGCCAACATAGAACCATTAGTGCCTTGCTTGAACATAGAGTCTAGCAGCACTGCATATCCTGCCGTCAGAAATTCAGAGTTCTCTGAAATTTCCTTATAAATTCAGAAGCTCTGCAAGTTTTGCTAACAGAAAAATCCAGTTCCTTGCTTTCCATAAAGAAAGAAAAGAAAGAAGCATCCCTGACAATCTTTGCACTATAGAATTCCAGCCCCTGCATCTACATGCAAACCCTGGCAGTTCTGAATATCCTTCTACCATAGATATCCATATCCATCCGCTGCACATAAAGTTCAGCAGCCCAGCATATCTTGTCATCATAGAATCCCAGTTCTATGGAAATACATGAAACACCCTGCAACATGGGAGTCCTGACATTCCTTCTAGTCCCTCTATTTTCCTGGCATTCAACATTTATCCCAGCAGACCTAGGAGACCTGCCATTGTAGAATCTTAGTTCTCAGGCTCTCTACATACAAGCTACAAGATCTGTGATTCTTTCCATGATAGATACAAGTACTCTGACTCTAATTCTAGATACAGCAGGCCTGGGTGTCTTGGGATTATAGACAGCAATTCCTATCTCTCCAGATAAATCTCAACTCTGCTCATCCTACCTGTCTGTGCTCTGTGGGGTGATTGAAATGAACTAAGGAACACAGCCCCACTGTTGGTTTTCACTCCACTCTGCAGGTGATTCATGTCACATCATCTTTTTTTTTTTTAAATACTTTTTTAGTTGTAGGTAGACACAATATTTTTATGTGGTGCTGAGGATCGAATCCAGTGTCTCACACATGCCAGACAGGTGTGCTGTCATTGAGCCACAACCCCAGCCCCTCATGTCACCTCATTTTGATGGTGAGGTTCTTGGATTTAATCATTTCTGAGGCCCTTTTCAGCTTTACAAAAGAAGATTCTGAGTGAATTTATCTCCAAATAACTCTCCATTTGCTCATGTTTGAATGGATATAATCAAATGGCATGGTGATTAGGCATCTCCTCCTCGCAGCTTCATTGATGAGCATAAAAGGAGCTTTGCTGCCTTGTAAGGTAATTTGTTTTAGGAAGCTGAGTTGGAAATGTTGTAGTGCTTCTGCAGATCTTATAATTGAGGCTACTAAGTATTGAAACTTGCTTTCTACTTTGTGTTTGTCTGCATTGGACTAGAAAAAGAATGGAGATTAATAACTTAAGCACAGTTCCTAGGTTCCCATTGCAACTTCCTAGAGGACATTTTTGGCAAACTTATGGCATCTTCATTTTCTCCTGTGTTAGGTACATTTTAGGAATTACACATTCATTCATCAAACAGATGTTGAATGTCATTGTGTCAGGGCTGTGCTGGTTGTGTGGAAGATACAAAATGTAAAAAACTGCCCTTGCTATTCTAGTATAACATACTAGAAACAGAGGCACTGATGATTATAAAATACAGTGGAACATGTTGGTTCTTGTAAATTAAACCAGCTATTGGTATTCTGAGGGTAGTAAGGTATTTTTAAGTTTGGAGGATTGGAAAAAATGGCAAAGTCCTTAGTAATACGTAGAAAATGTATAAAATGTGAGAATGGTAAGGACTCTGTGACAAAAATGGCTGTAGCCCTTTTTTCCCTTCGCAGCTCGGCTCTGTCCTTCACCTGTGTGTGGTACTCTGTGATCATCACAGCGGGTATGGCCTACATCTTCCTGATCCAGCTGATAAATATCAGCTACAATGTGACTGAGCGGGAAGTCCAGCAGGCCCTTCGACAGAAGACGGGGCGCCGGCTCCTCTGTGGGCTCATCGTGGACACAGGCCAGTACAATAGGGGCTTCCTGCGGAACTGGCAACAGTTCTCCACCCTGGGCACACGTGCATTCCACCACCCTGCCGAGGACATCGTCTGAAGTGCCTTCTGTGCGGCTCTGAGGAGTGGCTCCTCCCTCCAGCTCCTTTCCATTTTACACTTCAGTGTCCATGCAGGATGTTCATTTTTATCCCCAGTTCCTTACAGGCATTATAGGGCCATGCTCAGGTTTGGATACTGGACTGGAGAGAAATTAATTTTTCTGACTTCAAACATAAGAGATTTTTATATTGAAGCAGTAAAAGTAGAGCCATTCCTTTCCAGTCACCTTATTAATTGACTGAATCACCAGAGGTTGAAAAGGATGTGGATTGCTAATGCACAAATTGATAGAAGCAATTCCCATCCATTAGCATGGGAGGAGGAGTTTGGGATTAGGAGAGCTTCTAGTCCCTCTTTCAATTTTTTAATAGCCATGTGACCCTTAGTCGAGTCACTTTCCCAAGTCTCAGGTTCATCTGTAGCATGGGGTACTGATGCCTGCCCTGGCTACTTCACAGAAGATCACAGGAGGGTCACACAGGGGTCACATGAGGATGAAGGATGTGGAAAGCACTATGAAACAATTTAAGCACCTGAATATGTGAAATGTTATTAGGAAAATCCCAAGACTGAAGAAAAATGTTGTGGTTCAGAATACTAAAGCCAATATTATTAGGGTTATCAGTTTTCAGCATATAACATGTTGTACAGTTATGGGAATTTCTCCTTAAGTATTAGACATTAACTACTCACACGGGGTAAGAGATGATGAGATGGACTGATTCTGGTCATCTGATCTTAAAAGGACAGTTGATAACAATGATGAAGATAATTATTATCAGTGTAATGTGTAGTGGTCGTGAGTATAGGAAATTAGTTATTTTTATTTTTTTACGTGTTGTACTTACTGTAACAAACTCCAAAAGGTATTGAAGGGTTTTTTCCTCTTTCTGTGTTTCACCTGGTAAGGTGCTAGCACACAAGATAGTGGCTGGAAGAAGAACAGCACTCTTATATTAGGGAGTCTTTTTCTTGGTAGGGAGACTTAATTAATATCAAGGGCTTGTTTTTGTTTGTTTTTTTTTATTCTCTACATACATGTTTCAAGTGCTGTAACTTTATAACACCAAATTGTAAAAACCAGTCTTGTGGCAGTCGCATTATTCTTGCATAAACTGTCTTTGAGGAGTTGATTGACATCTTCCCACTTAACTTACACATTACTTTCCATTCACTCTTCCCTACATAAAGTATCTCACTAGGAGAGAAAAACAGGGTATATGTGGCTTACTTTCATTAATGCATTCTTCCCTTATTTTCTCCAAAGTAATAAGTTGTTTCTTTAATCATATCTCAAAACTTGAAATGTATTAGATGGAATATTTATATAGAATGGATCATTCTGCCATAGAATTAAGAGTGCATTTCATATAGGGAAAATACTCTCTTGAAATGTTTGATTTTATACATGTACTGTTCTGCAATCCCAAAGATAATTCTTGAGTCCTTAAATTTGCCTTGGCTTGTTGCTTAATATAGGGGAAATACTGCTAGCTTTTTCCATCAGTCAGTGCATGCTGCTTTAGCAATAGATTTGTACGTGTTGAGAGGAAATACTACTTCCTACAATTCTGGGTAGCACCATCCCTAGTCTTGTCATTAGTTGACATTCTTCTTAAGATATTGTCATTACATTTTTATTCAGGCATGTCATTACTCTCCCCAGAGATGGATTGTTTAACAAATGATAGGCTCTGTGTTCCATTGGGACGAGCCAAAGACCCAGCCTGGGAATGCCAGCAGACACTGGTTTCTACAGTGATGCCCTCTCTCTGGCCTAGAGTCAAATATTCTTTTAGAATTGAAGTTGGCTCTGATATAACTAATTTCTTTCTGTGTAGGTTTTAGATACAAGAGTTGGTAATAATGTCAAGGACAGCGTTATGTAGGCAGAAATTGGTAGTTTTCATGTGTCTTGAGCCCCAGCTAAATAGCTAACTCTGATTATCTAGTGATTGATAATAAAAATTCATAGATACATCAGTATAGTCACTTTTAATAACTTGCCAAATAGTAAATAGCAATCCAAATGTGATGTGAGCTGGGTGCAGTGGCACATGCCTGTAATCCCAGTGGCTTACGAGGCTGAGGCAAGAGGATTGCAAGTTCAAAGCCAGCCTCAGAAAAAAGCAAGGTGCTAAGCAACTCAGTGAGACCCTGTCTCTAAATAAAATACAAAAAAGTGCTAGGGATGTGGTTCAGTGGTTAAGCGCCCCTGGGTTCAATTCCCCAGTACCAAAAAACAAACAAAAAATATGACAGTAGTAGTACAAAAAGACCAAAGTCATCGAGGAGATTTAGGAATGATCACCATCTCTGTAACATCTCACTCCTGACATTGATTACCTGGATGAGGCAACTCAGTGTCCCTTACTTGGATGGGAACTGCTTAGATATTATTCTGGCTTATTGGAATTAAGATACTTGGTTTAAATTCCTTAAGAACTCATGATTGTCAGTTTACTGAAAAAGCTCAAACCTGAAGGAAGCTCATTGTTTTTGTGGAGTAAAAGCTTTCTGAAGTGTTTAAACCAAAAGGAGCAGCAAATAAGTTTCTACATGTGCACAGTGTTTCTGTAGCCTCTGCAACATCCTTGGTCTAGACTTTTGAGCCATTTTATAATCTGGAACCATCTAAGGGATTTCATTATAGGCCTTGGTTCTCTCTGGAGGGCAAGAGAATTTATTGTGGAGTGTTTGAAAAGACAAGATCTCTATGTTTGAGTCATCCCAGAGAAATATCTGGTAGTTGTGGTAGTGAAGAATTGCCCTGCAAATCTATATCCCAGCAGTCCCTTGGCCATAAGAGCAAACTCCTTCCCATCACCCTCATGTCCCTCCCCTTCTGGTTGTCTCACATCCCCAGACTCTGTTAAGAAACATTCTGGATGTGAAGCTTAATAAATTGCCTGTTATATTCTGGCCACTTACAGAATTATCATACCACTGTGTACTTTCTTGGGGAAGAGGAATGAGTCCATTTGAAAGACTCAAGGGACAGATAGTTAAGGGTCAGGATTGGACAAAAGGAGAAAATTCTTTGTTCAATGTTTCTTAGGATACCCACAAAATACTCCTGTGGTTCTAGCTGGGTGCTTCTGAAATGAGCAGACCATTAACAATGCCTCTTTGGTAGGTTACTCTGATGCTGCTAAAGTAAAGCCTTAAGTGTGTTTTCAGGATAGCATACTGCTTATTTCACCCTCAGCTACATTTGTGTTTGTCTTTAGGATGTTATAAATCTTTGTTCTCCGAGTACTGTTTTCCTTTGGTGAGTGAAGTGATTATTGTCTTCCACTGTTCCATCTGCCTAGAAGTAAGATTGCTACAGACTTCCTCTTATGCAATAGTCCTTGGTACTTCTAATATTTTTAAAAAGAGAAAATTTTCTATACTAGAATCTCTCACTGCCAGAAAACACAATGCCAGTAAGTTTCTGTGTAATACTGATCATCTGCTTAACAGACTTATTTCCTTGGTTAGGACATTAGCTTTTTATTATGAAGCTCAATTAATAGAAGCAAAAATATGACACTAAAAGCACAGTTTTAACCAAGATATTTAAAAATTAATATTCTGTGAGGTTTAAGGATCTCTATCAACTAGGTAAATAGGTTTATATGAATTACTTCATTTTAGCCATATTTTGGTACCCTGCAATTTTAAAGAATTTTCTCAAACAAGCAATGGATGATAAGAGACTTTTGCTTGAGGCACCTGTTTGGGATCCAGTGTTCTCAGCAGTTTGACAAATGTTCCATTTTATATCCAGCACTGCAAAGGCGATGCAGGGGAGAATCAAAGCCATGCTGAACTTAATACCGAATAAAACTCAGTGTGTTCTTGTGGATGTTTGCTGTGATTAATATAAACTGTTTGAAGGGTCAGCTAAGCGTATAGTTGCTAGTATAGTTATCCCCACTCTGGCTGGCACTGAGTGTCTCACTGGAGTACCAGCCATGGGCCACAGACTAAATGGTCAATGGAAACACATTTCTTAGAGGCTGTGGCCATCTCCAAGTGGGGCCTGTGACTTACTAGTGCTTTAGTCTTCAAATAGCACCTTTCACCTCTAGAAATTCATATTTATAAGGCAAAGCTTTAAAACCTCAGCTAGTCTATTTTAATTGTTGATGCAACTGAAGTTCTGTGTTTCTTCAGCTGGATCCATAGACAAGATGCCATGTTACAGAGCTTGTAAGCTCAACTTGTGATCCTTCTGTCTAGGTGATTTGATGGTTTGAGATGTTTGGGGCCTTTTCATTTTATTACATTTCTGGGCCTGATGTTGGACTAAAGGAAACCCAGGAGTATTTATTTAATATTAAAAATTCAATATTTAATGGAACTGGCCCAATAACATTAAAGGGATTTCTGAAGTCAACCTGGAGGCCATGGATTACATATTGCACTGTTTTTATACCTGTATTCTTATCCTCTTATCACCTCAGAATCAGATGCAAGGCCTTTTAAATCGAGATTTTACAAATTACTGCCATTTGTGTAAAATGATGTCCTGTGACCAAGTTGTTTAAATGGAAAATAAAGTGCTTTCTTTAAGGAAAATAGTTTGGTGTGTCTCCTGAATTCATTTGCTTTAAGAAAATCCTGCATTGTAGCTGCTGCTGCTTTGGCTACCTTGATTTCTCATCCTATGGACCTGTTCCTGACCCCAAACCATCATTTTCTTGGTTATTTTCCCAGTTTTGTATATCAGGAAACTGCTTGTTTCAGGTGTTGTGTTAGCAGTCACATTTCAAGTCATAGTTTTCTGATAGTTCTGAACTCTCTCTTTTAAGGGTTTTACAGGTAGTTTAAAAAGTCCAGGTGGTCTAATCAGAATATTATATGATTATAATATTCATATCCATAATCAGAATATTATGGATTGCCAAGCTTGAGGTGAGCAAAAATAAAGCTTAAGAAAGAAAATAAGCTGGATGTGGTGGTACACAGCTGTAGTCCCAGCTACTCAGGAGGCTAAAGCAAGAGGATGACAAGTTCAAGCCCAGTGTAAGCAACTTAGTGAGATCCTTTCTCAAAATGAAATGAAAAGGGCTCAGGGTTCAATCCCTGGTGCCCCAATCCCAAAAAAGGAAAACTTGAATGGGATCTATTTAGGTCCCTGACGTTTTTATTTGAGGAATTCACCCTTCCTTATCTACAGTCTTGGCATTGAATTAATACTGATATTTGCTTTTGGGTGCTAATATCATCCAATATTCTGTAACTGTTATATTGTTAAATGTATACAGTGGTTTGGATGGAAAGAAATGAATTACTTTTAGTTCCATTTTCTTAGAATCATCTTAGAAAAGATTATTTTTTTTTTTTAGTTTTAAAAACAACTATAATCACATTAAAGACTATTTTCTTTAGTTTTAAAAACAACTATAATTAAAGGAGACAATGTGTGGGGGCAGATTATTGTAGAAGCAGTAAAAGTTCATTTAGGGGTGTTTTATCATATCTTGGTTAATCATCATACATCTTCCATGAGAAAAGGATGCAAGGCACGTTGCAGGTGGTGGAGAGGGACATCCCTTCCAGGAAGTACAAGATGGAGACAGGCACTTTCACTTGAAAAACCATAAGACTTTATTTTACCAATTCACATTTCTAACACACCAAATAACAGATCCCTCAGGGCGACAAGGATCTTACTTGTTTTACCATGTGTATTAGTAGATTATTTGAATTGCTACAATAAACATGCATTGGTGATGAAAATTTTTTCCTACCAGGTAATTCTCTAAGACAGTTCATAAGACGAGACCATTTTATCAGTGTACCTTCAAGTACCTTAGAGATAAGTAATTCAACATCTAGATCAAACTGAGCTGAGGACTAGAAGACAAATCCAGTGGCTTATATGAAGTTGCAATTGGGAGCATGAATAGATATTTTAATGGATTGCTGGACTGTCTTTGACAGAGTTATTAACTTTTGGAATTTATGCTTATCAAGGTATATTATATTCATTGACCCAGTTTCTCTAAAAATCAGGATAAGCTGCTACCCTCCAAAGCAGCTGTGTTACATGGTTTGCCATAAGGGGTGGCCAAAAAGGGATGGGTGTTGTAGGACACTTGTCCTCAAACTCTGACCATCCATGCTTCCTTTTCTGAGTACTTACTATATTTAAAGTAGAAGGTTTCTATCAACAGCTCAAATTAAGACATAAGGACACATATTTTCCTTCACAAGCTCAGCAGGCAAAGACTTGTCCTTTTTAAAGTTTACTATGCTAAAAATGTATAGGATACACTTGAATAGTAGTGTCCTAGACTCCAACTTCATATGATCTCACCGTGCTAAATGCTATAGTAAATGACTAACAAGAGGATTACAAGTTCAAAAACAAAGTATCTCAGAAACAGACCAGGTCCAGGAATGTACGTGGGTGGGTGGAGACAACATATACACACATTCTGGACCAACTGGCCACTGCATCTGTATTTATGGGTACACAAAAGACTTCTCTTACTCAAGGGATGAGTATCTGACAGAAGGGATAAGTAATAGTCATGATGGTGCCAACATCTGGAAGTCTGGGAGAATTTCAGCCACCTTCCTGCGGAGCTGCTCTCGCCTTTCTTCTTTCCCCCTTTCGTCTTTCATAAATCTTACAGATGTCTTCCATGTCTGAAATGCTTGGTTGAGAATCCTCCTTTAAAAATAAAGTTGGGAGGAAGGGTAAAATATTAAGGAAAAGTTGACTTTCCAACTGATGTACATTTAAACACTATTAAAATAGTTATGTGGGGGCTGGGGTTGTGGCTCAGAGGTAGAGTGCTGGTCTAGCATGCCCGAGGTACTGGGTTCGATCCTCAGCACCACATTAAAAAATTAAAGATACTGTGTCCACCTATTAAAAAAATAATTATGTGAATAAAAGGTTAACATAAAATGTGTGGAAATCACAACTGGGATTCAGTAAAAGGGGATGACAGTGGAGAGGGAGATTGTTTATTTTGGTAAGATTGCAGGGAAAGCCTTTCTAAGGAGATGACATTTGAGCAGAGGACCCAGTTGGCCTCTGATAATGCAGGCTGCCTATAAAACATGTTTCTCAGGTGATCTGATCACTACCTGTTATTTTGTGCCCAAGCCAGGATCAAGTCATTCCAGCAAGGGCACTGACAGCAACAGCACTCAGGGCAAAGATTTTGGAAAACTACATGCAGAATGTGCCACTACTATGGGCACCGGGACTTCAGTGCTTAGTTATATTTTAAAAGCCTGCTGGTTTCTGGGTACAGTGGTGCACACCTATAATCCCAGAGACTCAGGGGAGGATAAGGCAAGAGGATTACAAAGTTCAAAGCTAACCTGGGCAATTAGCAAAACCCTGTCTCAAAATCTGAAAGGAGGCTGGGGATGTAGTTCCCCTGAGCTAATTCCCAGTACTGCAAAAATAAACAAAAATAAATGCCTTCTGATAACGTCACCTCCAACAAGAATAAAAACAAAAACAGGAAAAAAAGAAAAGTCTGACTCCAGTTGAGAAAAAAACCTAACATTAATTGTGGAAGCATGGTTAAGGAGGGCCACTGAAGCTTTATCTCTATGATCACAGGAAAGCATGCAATGTCCTTGGAGGGTTTCTCAGTGCCTGCTCCATCTGAACACCAGCCATGTACAGGAGAGCCAGGAAACCTACCCAAGGAGGCAGTTAAAGTGAACCGAGAGTTTCAGTATAGTGGGAAGGGACCTCAGTGGTGAGAAGGATAGGGGCTGCCCAGTCTGGGGATGAGGAGTGTCTGAGGCTTTTGAAAGACATGATCTCTGAACAGCTTTAGTCAGGGCAAAGGAAAGGCTTTCCCAGAAGAGGGTGCATCTTGAATAAAGGCAAAGAGGCAAGAATAGCCGAGCATGTGTGAGGAATTACAAGAGCAGTTATGTTGAAACAGAGGTCAGAGTAGTTTATATTTTCACAACTGGAGGAAGGATTTGTTCTAGCCTCTTAACCACCTAATGAAGCCTGGAATGAGTCTCAGTTCTCATTACTTTTACGGCTATTGGTTGTCTGATGTTTTGGATAAGGTTGATTTTTATTGGTAGAAGTATGAGAGAAAGAGGGGGGAAGAGGGGGAGTGTGCACATGGAGCTTTGAACTTTTTATCCATCCAGTCCATCATTTACAGCTTCCTATACTCATCTCTAGGGCCCTGTGTTAGTCAACTTTTTATCACTTTGAGACAAAGATACCTGACAAGAACAACTTAGAGGAGGAAGAGTTTATTTTGGTTCACAATTTCACAGGTCTCAGTCCATGGTCATCTGACTCCATTGCTCTGGCCTCAGGTGAAGCAGAAGGTCATGGCAGAAGATCATGGTAGATGAAAGTAACTCAAATCTTAACAACCAGGAAGCAGAGAGCACAAAAAAAGCAGGGGTGGGGAGGGATATATATAATCCCCAAGACACACCCCCAGTGACCCATTTTCTCTAGCAATGTTCCACCTGCCTGGAGTTACACCCATTTAGTTCATTTAAATTATTAATCCATCAAGTGAGTTAATCCAATGATTAGGTTATAGCTTCCACTATATCATTTCACCTTTTACATTAACACAGGAGTTTTTCAGGGGCATCTTGTGTCCAAACCACAACATTCTGTCTTGTCCCCAAAAGCTCATGGCCATCTCATAATGTAAAATACATGAGTTCATTTCCAAGAGTCCTTATAATCTTAACAGTTCAAGCATGGCCCAAAAGTCCAAGTCCAAAGTCTCATCTGAGACTTAAGGCTAACTGTTGGTTGTAAGCCCTTGTAACAATCAAAAGCAGATTATGTATATCCAATATATATGGCACAGTGTTATGGTTTAGATATGAGATATGCCACAAAAGCGCCTGTGTGAGACAATGCAAGAAGTTTAGAGGTGAAACGGACTGTTATGAGAGTCTTAACCTAATCAGTGCATTAATCCACTTGAATAGATAGCAGGGTATGACTGGAGGAGATAGGACACTAAGGGTGTGACTTTGGGGTATATATTTTGTCCTTGGTGATAGGCAATATCTCTCTCTGCTTCCTGATTGTTATGTCCTGAGCTGCTTTCTTCATGTCCTTCTGCTCTGATGTTTTGCCTCACCTTGGATCCAGAGCATTGGAGATGGCTGTGTGTGGACTGAGATCTCTGAAAATATGAGTGCCAGATAAACTTTTCTTCATCTAAAATTGTTCTAGTCAGGTCTTTTTGTCACAGCAGTGAAAAAGCTGACAAAAACACACAGAGTAAACATTTTCATTATAAAAGGGAGGAATAGAGGCATAGGAAGAAGGGATGAGACCAAAGTAAGATCTAGCTGGGAAAATAGGTCCTGTAGCTCCACATCCAGCACTGAGGACTCACAGTGGTGAGATGTGATCTCCAAAGGGCTTGGGCAGCCCCACCTCTATGACCTTGCTGGTTGCATCCTACATGGTCTTTCTCTTGGGATGGCTCTCTCTGAGGCCAGCAGCTTTTCTCAGCTCCCAGTCCCTATCATTTTCATCTCTTAATTCCTGGGGTCTCCAATACAGCTTCAGCTTCACCTTCACAGCTTCATGCATAGCA